TCCAAAAAAGTTTCAAAAAGTATCCAAAAAAGCTCAAAAAGCCTAGAAAGCTCCAAAAAGCTCCATAGAGCTCCAGAAAAGCTTAAAAAGCTCCAAAAAGTTCCAAAAAACTCCAAAGGCTCTAGCTAAGAAAAAGTCTCAAAAGTCACAAAAACATTTAACAAGATTGGAAAAGACCCAGGATTGCTAAAAATAGAATTTGATTGGACTAGAAAAATAGAGAATAGAATCCTAAGAAAATCGAGAGACAATCAGATCAGATCACAGCATTCTTCCAGCTTAGCTGGGCATGTCATGTGATTATTATTCATGCGATGTTGAACGAAATTCCGCACTCCGGCCGCTTCCATCACCCGATTGTAGAAATTTAGCTGAAAGCAAGAAATGTGATCCATGTGTGGCTTGTGGTCTCTGGCTAAGATCAATCTGTAGCTTCTGGTCTCTGGCTAAGATCAATGGGCAACTTCTAGTCGCTGGCTAACATCAATGTGTAGCTTCTGGTCTCTGGCTAGGATCAATGTGTAGCTGCAGCAAACTGCTGCAATTTCATCGATATCTAGAGCATAAATTAGGCTTTTCAGAAAGGCTTCGTTCCTTTTCGTACTTTCGTTCAATTCGTGCATTTGTTGGTTTTAAACGGAAGTACGAAAAGAAACGAAAAGACCTTCTGAAAAGCCTAATATAAGCTAGATATCGTATTTATTCTATTTTCTATATTTAGAAGCGCAGCCTCCAATAAAAGCAATAACTAAGACAAGACTGGCGATTGGAGTATTGGAGTACTGAGGTACAAGGTACCGTAAAAGAGGCACAACCTCTAATAGACTATTCAGAACTAGATATTCAGCTTAGTAAACCGAATACCCTGAATTTTGAGCCTTTAAGAATATATAAGGCATTTCCTTGAGAAAAATTGCATTCTTTATCATTTGTTTTGGGGTAGGCTAGTTTCCTCCATTTTTTTTTGCGCAACTGGGTCGTGGCGCAACTTGCCATAACTTTTTTCTAAGAACCATAAAGATCGTCTGTGGACCAAGCCTTTTTTTGACATTTTTGACTTCGAAGCAGTTTATCCAGATGGTTGGAAAGATTTAAGAGAGTCTCCTACACCATTTATTTTTGATGAAGAACGATTTGGATTTCTCTTTACCAATCTTTATGGTTTTGGTTTCATTTTGTAGACCTCAATAAGTGCAACAAAATGAAACCAAAACCATAAAGATTGGTCCATTTAGAAGAGAGTTATGGCGAGTTGCGCAAACGACCCAGTTGCGCAAATAACCCTGTTGCGCAAAAAAAGTTTCGGAAACTAGACTACCCCCAAATCGTAACTCAAATCAAATCGTAACTCAAAACAAATCGTAATTCAAATCAAATCGTTCAAAACACATCGTAACTCAAAACAAATTGTTCAAATCAAATCGTAGCTCAAGACAAATCGATCAAATCAAATCGTAACTCCAATCAAATCGTGGGGTAGTTTTCGCAACTCGCCATAACTTTCTTCTAAATGGATCAATCTTTATGGTTTTGGTTTCATTTTGTTGCACTTATTGAGATCTACAAAATGAAACCAAAATCCTAAAGATTGGTAAAGAGAAATCCAAATCGTTCTTCATCAAAAATAAATGGTGTAGGAGACTCTCTTAACTCTTTCCAACCATCTGGATAAACTGCTTCGAAGTCGAAAATGTCAAAAAAAGGCTTGGTCCGCAGACGATCTTTATGGTTCTTAGAAAAAAGTTATAACGAGTTGCGCAAAGAACCCAGTGGAGAACAACCTCCAAAAAGTGGAGGAAACTAGCCTACCCCTTTGTTTTGCATTAGTAGTGGCAATTTTGATTAGTTTTTTTTGTAATTAGATAGTCAGGTTATTTGGATCGTGAGCTAGTCAGCTTATTTTGGGTTATGAATTATATCATTATATCGTTATATAATTATATCGAATGCTTAGAATACCCTCGTTAAAAGTATAAAAAGCTAATAGTTCTGATTTTTTGACTGTTTTTTGCAGACACTTTTTCCAGAAATGGAATTTCCAAAAAAATTCGAAACCTTTGCATTCCATTCTCGACAGTTTTGTGTATTCAGCGGCGGAAATAAAGCGAAATTCGACCGGATCAACGGTTTTCGGAAAAGCCACAAAATTCGCTAAATTGTTGAATAATGTTCCGGAACAATTCGCTGATCTTATCAATTTTCATTGGCATTTTGATTTTTATCTATTATCGAATCTATTGGAGAGCTCATGAGAGGAAATATTCAAAAACGGGATTTGAGGAAAGAGATCCGGTGAGTACAAGGTAAAACTCTCAACAATCAGTTCGTTGTTAGAGTGTTTTCTTTTTTCTAAAAGGCACTTATTTCAGAAAACTATCGTAATCAAACTTTGGTTACGGTAGTTTCCGTTCAAGTACTGGTGAAAGTTACTAACTAATTATAAGAGTTAAACCAGTCCACTCAACGATATAAGGCCAACCAGCCTTGGAAGTAGCTTTCTAAAACCTATTGGCATTCAGTTAAGAAGCATACCTTTTACAGTACCCTAAAGCTACCAATCCCTCTTCATAACTCACCAACTCTTCCTCATTGTTTGCTCCTTTTTGCCCTTAGTTGTCAAATGAATTGATCGTGTTATCTTTGGTTAACGATGGGTAGTTTTTAGGTACGGTAGTTTTCATTCAAGAAACGCCGAAAGTTTACGTCCAACTCAATCAAAGATAATTTTTCCAGAAAATCTATAAATCTATAAATCGTTTAGAGAAAATGACCTCTATAATGACCTCTATAAAAGCAAAAGAACTTACACTGCTGACTCGAACCCGAGAGGGCTTGTCTTGTATTCTAGCCGCCTATCACTCGGCCACCACCGCTTCCCCAACCTTCTGAAAAATCTGCTCGTAAACTCGAGGGAGGGTTTTTTAAATTCCATACAAAACTTTGAACGAACTTTTGACAGAGTGCTTCATAGCATAAATGGAAAGCAGATTCGGCATCAGCGTTGAATTCTCATTTGACCACCACCGGTTGGCCGGTTGACGATCTTTGGTTAATGATGGGCTTGGTTAGTGCAAGAGTGTGCCCTTTAGTCTCTCACTTACCAGGGAACCCCATGAAGTTACATTTTCAGAAATGATCTGATTCCGAGGTGCAAACATCCCTAGTTAAGGGCATCCCGAAATTGCTTTCAAATCCTACTTATTAGGTTGGTAAAAAAGAAATGAGCGTCGTGTTTGTTGATTTGTATTTTATTCACAGTAAAAGATTTTTTAAAAAAGTTTATTCTATTGGAAAGAGCGTGTTCTTGTGCATCGTTTGATATATAATTTGTCTATGTTTACTTTTTTCCGACTACCATCTGCACCACTCCTTGGCCGAGAAAAAGTTCAAGAACCGCGACGAGGTCCAAATTTGGGTGTCCAACTTCTTCGAGTCGCAGCCGGTCGAGTTCTTCAAGAAGGGCATCCATTCTCTGCGTGAACGTTGGCGACAAGTCATTGATGCAGATGGCGAATACCTTTTGGATTAATGTATTGTTATCTTGTTTTTATAATAAAATAAACTTTTAACGAAAACGCGCATTTCTTTTTTACCAACCTAATATTATAAGCCGTTTTCGAGATATAAGCCTTCAAAGTTTTGGCCAATTTCGCCAAGCAACAAGCTAGCTTACTTAAGGCTTAACTTAAGGCCAGTCGGTGTGCCTCAGTAGCCTAGTGGATACCTGTAATAGTAGCGCCCCTTAACTGAATATCTTAATGGCTAGGAGAAATCTCAAGATATTCAGCCTTTTGCTTTTTAGCTTGCAACTTTTCCAAGATAATTGCAACATTTTCAACTCAATTCTTCGCCTTTTTATTGCTTTTCTAGCTTTTCTTCTTTCTAGCATTTCTTATTCGTTTTCTTTTTCTTATTCGATAATTTTATTTTTTTTAGGTTCGATGAGCGATCAAGAAAGCTGGGATGACGTGAGGATTGAAGCGTGAGTATGAATCGACGTGAGCACGAACTAAACGGATTCTTTGAAGAAGGACAAGAACTTTAACGTAAAATTGAACGCTGGGATGACGTGAGGATTGAAGCGTGAGGATGAGCGATCGACGTGAGCACGAACTAAACGGATTCTTTGAAGAAGGACAAGAACTTTAACGTAAAATTGAACGAAGAATTGCGCGAGGAATCGGACAAAGAAGCAAACGACGGAACGGACAAACCAAAGCAAAAGAGAAAAGCAATAGATGCGAAGATTAACCTCGATGCTGCAAAAATGGCTCGCAAAGTCTCCGCTGCCAGATTCTACAAAATTGAGGAGCTTGTGTTCAACGATACGTCAAACAAACAAATGAGCTAAACAAAATGCACAAAAAAAGAAGCGTTCAGATGGTGGCGGACGCGCTTGACCTCAAAAGAGATTGATGAAGCTTTGGCAATATGGATTCTTGAGAAGGAGCGAAAAAAGCGAGTGAACCGTCGAATGATCTGGAACGAAGCTGCTAGTCGATTTGCTGATGCAGAGATTCTCCTTAAAAGAAGACACGGTTGGATGGAATTGTTTCTAAAGCGATACCAATTCTCATTGAGAGCACAACATGTCAAAATCTTCCTAGCGAATTTGAAAAAGTTCTTGTCGACCATTTCCTGAACGTGAACAAGAAAATCAAAGAGAGCACTTTCACGCATCTGACAAAACGGTTGTTTGGCTTGACTCTGAACGAGTATGTTTGATTTTACTGTTATTTTGTTGTTTGTTAAAGGTGAATAAATGAAATTCCACTGTCGATCAGACTTTGTTTTTTTTAGAAAAACGCTCGAATATTGCTTTTTTGAGCAGTAATCTCTGAAATAATATTAGTTTAATGTAAAAAAAGGCTCCGACTTTTGAATAATTGAGCCAGCAGCTTCTTTTTGACTATCTAGGCTTTTTGGGTCTTAGGAAGGAAAAAAAGAAGCAATAAAAGCAAAGATTTGCTTTCAAAGCTTGTAACCATTGCTTGATTTAGATGAAGAAAGCTGGCTGGATAAATCTGGTGAAAGATTTCGATGAAATCAATGAAGAAGAGGCACATCCACCCGTCAAGTTTTGAACTAAAACATTTCTTTTTTTTACGATTCTTTTAGACCAACTCAAAATCTGAATCGACCCGACTATCTGCTGGATGCACAAGAGTGCATGAAAGAAATGTTCTTCTCAAGAACGGATCGAGATGTGAGTGTTATTTGATTCAACCTTGTGCTTAAATCACACTCTTTTTGAAACTTCATCATTTTTCGCTAAAAAGAAAGCATTGAGTACGTCAAAAGAGATATTTTTTAGAATAGAGTACATTCTAAAGAACAAGTTCAACTCTAAACCGTTTAATCTAGTAATCTAGTGCTCTAGTAATCTAGTACTCTAGTACTCTAGTACTCTAGTAATCTAGTAATCTAGTATTCTAATAATCTAGTATTCTAATAATCTAGTAATCTAGTAATCTAGTAATCTAGTAATCTAGTAATCTAGTAATCTAGTAATCTAGTAATCTAGTTTAATCTCAGCTCATCTGTAGAACAGAACAGTTCAGCTGTCGAACACTGTCCTTTGCACATTCACACAGCTGTTCTTTCAGCAATAATTTGGAAAAAAGGTACTTCCGCATCTTTTCACAAGTTTATATGCAAATTGATCTTTAACTACTTACTTTATTGAATTTTAGCATACTGACGTTTTTCCAAAGTTTTCCCAGAAGCACAACACTCAAATCCCCCACTAGATCTCATCGTCAGCTACATTTTGTTATGATTTTCAATAGATTTAAGCTAGAATTAATGAAGCTAAACCTAATAAAATCATTTCTACAATTTTCCCCCTTCTCTTTACTAAACTAGAGACATGCCGGGAGAAATTTACATTACATATTTACATATTTTGTTTTACTTGACAGGGCAAAGATACGGGAATACTGAAAAAAGCTTTAGGACAACGAAAAAGGATGTGTTTACTATAGTTTTTAGCAGAAAATCCAACATTTCACATTCTAAATTTTTTCCTTTTAGATCTGGGAAGATTTCAGTCGAATTGTGATGAATTGCACTCCGTACGATGAGATGAGGATCAAGATTTACTCGAATTCTTTTCGCTATCACTATTTTCAAAAGCCGGCTCGATATGAGGACAATGAGTTTTTAGTGAGTGTCGGAAAGTTTAGAACTAGAGAGAACGAGCAGAACTAGAGAATTCTAGTTCTGGTCGTTTCTAAACTTCTAAACTTAAACATATGTAGATAGAAAATTGTAGATAAACATATGTAGATAGATAATAACAAGATAATAACAAGATAGTTCTAGATCATTCTAGATAATTCTGGATAATTCTAGATAATTGTAATATAATTCTAGATCATTCTAGATCATTCTAGATAATTCTAGATAATTGTAGGATAATTCTAGATAATTCTAGATAATTATAAGATAATTTTAGATTATATCAAGCATTATCTATCTAAAAAATTCTGAACACAGTGTTCATTGTAAATTTTCAGAAAAAAAGCTGCCAACTAGTGTCCATCGGCACGAATGTTGATGTCAAAGCTGAACTCACTTTTTCGGTTTTGAACACACAACTGTGATTGATTTAGCGTCCGTTTTTAGGAAAACTATCCGCATTGCAAATTTCTTGGAGTTGATCCAAATGCCACTGAGAAGGAAACCGCCTACAAACAGGTTATTCTTTCTTTCTACGGGATTTTACAAGTACCCGGACTCACCTCCAAGAGTCTAGCTCAGTCAAAATCAAGCCAATCTCTGATTTTTTCAGAGGTAAATTTAGATTAGGTCTCCTGCAACAGTGCTCAATATTAAGTCAAACGGAGTAAATAGGCTCTGAAAAAATCAGAAAGATTAGTTCATGTAGGCTCTGAAAGCTAAGCGCTTCCGTTGGCACGCTAAGCCAAAATGCCAAATCTCAAACTGTGTTGCGAGGAAATGTGACTCTCAACTTTCAGAGCCTATATAAAACTTGTGCTTACTCCGATCGACTAAATATTGAGCACTGTTGCAGGAGGCCTAATCTAAATTTACCTCTGAAAAAATCAGAGAGATTGGTTTGTTTTTGACTGAGCTAGAGAATTGATTGGTTTGCTTTTGACTGAGCTAGTCAATTGGTTGTTTTGCTTTTGACTGAGCTAGACAATTGATTGGTTTGTTTTTGACTGAGCTAGAGAATTGGTTGGTTTGTTTTTGACTGAGCTAGACAAGACTCTTGGAAGTGAGTCCGGGTACTTGAAAAACCCTGTAGTACTTGTAAAATCCAAATTGAATTCAATTAAAATCCAAATCAAAAAGTAAAATCCAATTAAAATCCAAATTTGAACCTAAATCTGACTGGGTTGGGCCAGGTTCGGCAAATTTTTAAATGTCAAATTTGCTTCTTGGAATATTAGAAATTTCTCAGCAAATTTTTATAAACTTTGAAATAAGCAAAGTCAAATTTAGTATAAAAATCATAGAACCAATGTTGACACTATTTTTGAGGTTGGAAAATTCGTGAACGCCTTAGTGACAACGGATGGGAAAACGAGAGAAAGCACATCGGTTAAAGGTAGATTTTTGAGGCAACCAAGATGCGCTTTGTGCTTAAAGCTTTGCTTGCTTGTGCTTTGTGCAAAAACATCATTTCTGGTGCACTCAATTGAGATAAAAAGCCTAATAAAATCTAAAATCAAAGACTGAAATGTGTATTTTAGGTAATATTACCACAAAAATCGACCAACAGACGCTTGAAGTTGGGGAATTTTTCAGCGAGAATTTGGAGAAGTTGGTCAAATGGTCAAATTCAAAATGGTTAAATGGCTAGCATTTCATTCTCATTTCAGCAAAATAATCGATGTTTTGTGGATGGATAACGAGTACGAAGAATACGATTTACTTCCATTTTTCCTCAAAGATTCCCCACTTTTTCGTGATGGATGGAGGATTTGTCAGGTTTGGATGAAAAGAAAATTCTTACGAAGGATTCTTATGAAGAATTCTTACGAACGATTCTTATGAAGGATTCTTACGAAGGATCCTTACGAACGATTCTTACGAAGAATTCTTGCGAAGGATTCTTCTAAAAGAATTCTTACGAAGGATTCTTCTAAAAGAATTCTTACGAAGGATTCTTCTAAAAGAATTCTTACGAAGGATTCTTCTAAAAGAATTCTTACGAAGAATTCTTACGAACGATTCTTACGAAGGATTCTTGCGAAGGATTCTTACGAAGGATTCTTACGAAGAAATTTCTTTTCAAGATACAAGTCGAGATTCACGGTCATTTGGAAAAAGTGGAAATCATTCGAAAGTATGCGAAATTTGTGAAAGCGATGTTTGAAGAAGGACGTTATTTGCCCATTCATTCGATGCAAAGTGTCCACATTATGTGAGTCCAAAAAAAATTCAAAACAACTACAAAGGTTTATGTTTTTTGTGGTCTAGTTCATTTTGAGAGAAGACTATTGAAAAAGTTATCAGAACAGAATTTACTGTAGATCTGCCTCCAAAGGAACTCTGGGTATGAACACCATTTGTAGAGTTGACAAAGTTTTGACTATCGTAGCTTATTCTTTATTGACGAAGTTTTGGCTATAATTGGCTATACCGGACGGTGAACATAACTCCCTTAAAATTGTTGTTGTTAAAATAAATTGTAAAAATCGCGTGAAAATCAACAGAGAAGTTATGGAAATCGAGCATTATGCAAATTTTGAGTGTCCTCCTAAACTCCCATAGCACCGAGGTTAGTACCAGAGCCCGTTAGCAAAGCTGTTCGCAAAGCTGCTAGAAAGCTGTCAGCAAAGCTGTTAGCAAAGCTCTATAAATCCAAAACCAAGTCAGAAGCCAGGAAGTCAGGTCTAGCTCTGTCGGAGATGACTTTATTGCAGGCCAAGCCTAGGAGAAGTGTCTAGGCCAGGAATCTGGCAAGAAGACACATGAATATGCCTTTTGGGCAGACTTAATGCTGGTTGAGCAGTTTAATCAAAATGGTTTCCATTATTTGCAATGATTTTCGCTCATCTTACTGGCAATTGGCGGATTCCTCTCACAGAAAATTTTTGGTTTCAAGCCAAAATAGTCTTGGAGCCACAGAGTAGGCTTAGCTGGAATAGCTCCAGAGGATTAAAACATCCCGCTCGTGCGTAGCAGGTCTTTTTGAGTTTCAGATCGATCCAAGACCAAATATCTTATTGATCTGGCTTAGAACTTAAAATTGAACTATTCAAAAACCTCCCAAAAACCTCAAACCAAATATCTCAACTCTCTTTCCAGAGCTTTCTTCTTCAATTTTGGCGATGATGAATGCTTTCAGCGATACATCGAAACGTTTAACTTCTTTAGCGGCGAATTTTATCCAATCAATTACTAGATAAAAGAATTTGCATTGATTTGTACGGGTTTTGAATAAATCACAACGGAAAATCGTCTGATAAGTCAAAAATCTTGTTTACCGAAATTTTCGACTGGATAAGTGATAAGGGTCTTTCAAGGAAATGGCAAAAAAAATCGCTGAATTCGAAAATTCTTTTGTTTTATTTATTTATTACTGTGAAAAGCGATTGTCCGCGAAATTCCCTTCAAACAACAATTCCCCAATGCTGGGAATTGTTTGATGACATCGGATGTGGCTGTTAATGCGAATTCACAGGAGAAAAGCTCTTGTAAAGCTGTCAAGTAAAATGTTTGAAGCTAGAAAGTCCAAAAAGTGATTCACGCACGGTTAAGTTATCAAAGAAACGGGAAAAAGCTTCTAGACTCGTCAAAATGGAAGCAAACTTGTCAAAAATTTGGGGACTAGGGTTTTTCGATATAGAGAAAAGAAAATTTGGGAAGAGTAAAATGTTTGAAACTATATTTAGCACCTAAAATTGATCTTGCAGGTCTAAATTGAATCGAGTTTTGTATGACTGAGCAAATCAAACGGTTTTTGAAAGCTGAATAGTAAGAGCGCTTAAATCTCAACTTATGAGTCGAAGTATTGGGTTGGTCAATTGAAAACTGCGGGACTTTGAACTAAAATTTATTGAACATAAAACCATAAATTCATTCCAAATAATTTCCATTATTATTGACGACTTCTGCCCATTTTACAGGCAATTTACGGATTCCTCTTTCGTGGTAGGATTTTGGTTTGTGTGTGAGGCCAAATGTGGGCGGGGGGGGGAAAGAGGGGGGGGGGGTGGGGGGTGGTTGTTTTGGTGTTTTTAAAAGGGAACCCCTTTTTGGGGGGAAATTAAGTTAGGTTTTATTTAATATTTTTTTTCTTTTTTTGGGTTTAGGGGTGGTGTCGGGATTTTCTTTTGGGGGGGGGGGGGAGGGATGGGGGGGAGGGGGGGGGGGGGGGGGGGGGGGGGGGGGGGGGGGAAAGAGGGGGGCTTATATAATTGGGGTGGGGGGTTTTGTGGGGGGGGGGGGGGGGGGGGGGGGGGGGGGGGGGGTTTTTGGGTGGGGGGTTTTTTTTTTTTGGGGGTTTTTTTTTTTTTTTTTTTTTTTTTTTTTTTTTTTGGGGTGTGGATAGGTTTGGTTTTGTTCCCGGGGCCCCCGGGACCCCCTCTCCCCCCTATAACGGGGGGGGGGGGGGAAAAACAATAGGGGGGGGGGGGGGGGGGGGGGGGGGCCGTTTTTTTTTTTCCCCCCCGTTTCGCCTCTTCTTTTTTTTTTTTCTTTTTTTTGGCTTTTTTTTCTTGGTTTGGGGGTGGTCTGTTTCCTTTTTGGTTTTTTTTTTGTGTGTGAGACAAGTGTGAGGACTGGAAAAATGGAGGACTGGAGATGTCTCAGTTTGAGCACTTTCTTCAAAAGAAACCCATTTTGGTGTCAATAGAAAAGTTGTAGAGAATCAAAAATTAGGCTTATAGCCAAATTTCCAAAAAGATACACTTAGTAATTTCGCTTAAAATTTTCTGTGAAATGCAAGTTTTGTGAAAATTCGTAAATTTGGCATTTCTTGAAAACCAGTTTTTGAATCGTTCTGAAAATTTGGATATAGGCTTGATTTTTGATTCTCTACAACTTTTCCATTGACACAAAAATGGGTTTCTTTTGAAGAAAGTGCTCAAACTGTCACATATGACAATAGCCGGCAGTTTTCAATTCACCAACCCAATAGAATCAGATTTATCCACCGGATAAGGAAAGAGGCAAAAACTAGCATTTAATATGCAAATTTGTTAAGTGATCACAATTCATTTTGAAACATTAGCAAAAGGTTTACAAATTAGAGAAATATCCAAGTAATAGAAGAAAAATGCTGTTGAATTATTTAAGATGAACACCGTGCACTTCAAGATCGCCTTCAATGTTGACTCGATTGATTGATCGTGATGGTAATCGATGGGCGTAATTGCAAACAAATACATCATTCACGTAGATCTGAACAGCGATGATAATGGGTCATTTGTGGAGTGGTCCGTTTTTAAAATAGATGGGACGACTGTCACCAAAAAGCTATTCAATCTAAGCTAAACTGTGGATAACCTACCGTAGTCTAACCTGGTTTTTCGAAAATATAAACAGCTTTATTGGCTTTTTGTTTGTTTTGCCCTCTTTGCACCTATTCTTCTTAAGATTTTTGTATGAAAGTTTTCATTAGATTTCTCTCTAAAAATCTATCATAAATTGTATTCTGCCAAAAGAGCTTGGTTCTGTTCTGAAAGCTTAGAAATTACAGAGAAAGTACACTTGAGTCGCGACGATATAAGAGTTCGAGTTTGGATAGACGTTTTTGTCTGCTTGTAATTGCTTGGCCTTTTAGTCAAATTGACAGGAAATGTATTCATTCGAAAAAAAGCCCATTAACACAATTGCGACGTCGGTATCTTGGGCATGGGTTGTCCAATTGAAATATTCTTATAATCATTGGATGCGCCAAGTCTTTCTCTGTCGATTGGTACAAAAACAATTGAAATTGGACAACCCAAAGCCAAAATATTTGAGTTCAAAGTTAGATCGCCAGTGGCAAAAGGGGCAGGGCGCGTATAAAAGGCGGGACATGCTCCGCCCCCTTTGCCATTGGCAATCTAACTTTAAGCTCAAATATCTTGATGTTGGGCTGTTCAATTTAAATATTCTTGGTATGAGTTGAGACGTATAAAAGGTGAGACATGCTCCGCCCCTTTTGGGTACTCGTCTTTGTGCATTGGAAAATCCACAAAAGCAACGACTTCCGAGAATTTCCCAGAAGTCATTTTACAGAGAAATAATCAAGCTTTTTAATAGTTCAAATAGAAATTTTGTTGGTGGTGGCATTATTTTTAAAAGACGTTTTGAAAGAAATTGTAAAGACTCACAAAGTCTAGTTCACAAGTACTTCAGTCAGATTCCGTATCTTTTACTCTTCTAAAGCTAAAGCTTGATTTCATTTGGAACTTTGTTTTTAAATTAGTGTAAATTCCAGACTAAATCCTTCCCTCTCTTCCTCTCTTCCTCTCTTCAATCTCTGGAATCTTTCCCGTAGCTGTCACAATGAGCATAAAGAGAAAGGGTGGGGTTTTGAACGGGAGAAATCGTCGATGAGTGAGTAAAAAGAAAGAAATTAAGAGAAAAGATCGAGATGGGGATTCCGATTTGCGATTCTTTTCCCTTCATACACATCTTTCCCGTTCTCATCAAACTTTCCGGATCGGCTTCGATAAGGAAAAGGAATGAGCAAAAGAAATGAGCAAAAGAAATGAGCACCGAATCGAGATCGAATTTTCCCTTTCCTTCTTTCAATATTTCCCACATTTCACAGACATCTAACTCTTTCAATCTTCTTGTGATTTTCGGTTTTGAGTTTAGCCCTTTAACACTTTATTTTGGGAACTCTGTTTTGAGTCCAACTTTATCAAGAAATTCGAATCTGAGTGTCTGTTTGTATCTGTTTGAATCGAACTCCAAGATCCAAGATGGAACTCCAAGGTCCAAGATCGAACTCCAAGATCCAAGATCGAACTCCAAGGTCCAAGATCGAACTCCAAGATCCAAGATCGAACTCCAAGGTCCAAGATCGAACTTCAAGGTTCAAGATCGAACTCCAAGGCCCAAGATCGAACTCCAAGATCCAAGAGCGAACTCCAACCGAACTACCTAATGTTTAGAAGCTTTCAAAGTTCCCAATTTCACCGTATTCCAAGTAGGAAACTTATTTTACAATCTTGTAAACTGTCTCATTCTCATTTAAACAAGCGTGCAAACTTTTGACACTCATTGATTTGCTTTGGTGCTCTACCGTAACCCAGCTACCGTAAACCAGCCACCGTAGCCCAACTACCGTAACTTTAGATCTAAATCTTTATGTTTTGATTTTTATAGATGCTTGTGCTTTCTATCTCTAAATTAATTGGTGTTACAGTGATCAAAACTACGAGAGAAACTTGCATTAACTGTAAAATCAACTAACTGGGTTAACTGGTAATCAATTAAATCAACTAGGGTTACAGTAGCCTTTAAACCGGGGTTACGGTAGTCTTTAAACTAGGGTTACGATAGTCTTTAAATTCTCTACTCGAGTCGACAAATGCAAGTACATCACAGTGTATCGAAAGATTGTACCTTTTCGATAAAACTATTTATTTAGTATCCCAAGTATCCTAAAGATACCCCCCAAATGAATGAGTGACGGACGAGTGAACGGGAAGTGATCGAAAACGATGGAATGAACGATTTCCTTTTGTAGTTCTCCACAAAAGAAAGGAGATCACCAAATTTGGGTCGAGAGAAAGCTTTCCTCCATCGCCCATCAATTAGGTGAAAGCCGACTATGCACTTTCGATTGGATTTCACATTCAGTCACACATAGTTTCTTTTTGGATTTTTTTTATGCTAACAAACTAGAGTTCTTCTAAGTGTTCTTTGTGCTTTTATGCTAACTAATCTCAGCTTAGTATCTCAGTCCCATAGTAGGCTATGCTTGTCCCATAGTAGGCTTGTTTGAGCCATAGTAGGCTGTTTGTCCCATAGTAGCCTTGTTTGAGCCATAGTAGGCTGTTTGTCCCCTAGTAGACTATGTTTCTCCCAGAGTAGGCTGTTTGTCCCATAGTAGGCTGTTTGTCCCATAGTAGGCTTGTTTGAGCCATAGTAAGCTGTTTGTTCCCTAGTAGGCTATGTTTGAGCCATAGTAGGCTATGTTTGAGCCATAGTAGACTATGTTTAAGCCATAGTAGGCTTTGTTTATCCCATAGTAGGCTATGTTTGTCCCCTAGTAGGCTGTTTATCCCATAGTAGACGATGTTTGAGCCATAATAAGCTATGTTTGTCCCATAGTAGACTATGTTTGTCCCATAGCAGGCTGTTTATCCCATAGTAGGCTTGTTTGAGCCATAGTAGGCTGTTTGTCCCCTAGTAGACTATGTTTCTCCCATAGTAGGCTATATTTGTCCCATAGTAGGCTATTCTAGCTAATAAGCTCTCGTCTTGGACCTGGAATAAGCTTCCGTCTTGGACTTGGAATAAGCTCTCATCTTGGGCTTGGAATAAGCTTCCGTCTTGGACTTGGAATGAGCTCCCGTCGGGTATCTTCTCGTCTGTAGGAAAATTGAAAGTATCTGTAAACGAATTAGATCTTATTGCCATGTCAAATCTGCCCTATATTTAAACTATTTTTGAAGTTTACTTCTAAACTTTACTTTCAAACTTTTACGATCCTTTATAGATATTTCTTTTCCAATTTTCATTTCTTACAAACAAAAAACCTTAACAAACAGTGCTAAGTTTTTTAAGGTTATTCAAAACTAACTCTAATTTATCGTATAGCTTAAAGCTTAAGCTTAACAGACGAAGCTTTGCTTTTATTCGCCCCCTGAATAAAGCATATATATTTTTTTCTATCGAATGGTAGGTATAACATCAATTTTCATCAGAAAACGCACTTTCGAATGTGCAGCATCAGAAAGCGCACTTTCGGATGTACTTGTCTTGTCCCTAAAGTACTTGTCTTGTCAGACTCAAAGGGCTAACCATATAAAAAACGATGATGAGCTCTGGGCTTAGTTTTAAGTAAAAGTATTAAGGTATATTAGTTTTAAGTATATGGTATAAGTATAAGTATTAAGGTTTTCATTTTCAAAAAGCTTGAATACCTTTCTTCAGCCATTTTAAAAGCAAGTTTTAGTAAAAAGTTTTACGTTGTTGTAAAAGTACGGGAACTTTTGAACTTTTGAATCACCCTGTAGTAAATCCTCACCATTACAGCACTTTCACTCTTACCATCGACTAAACGCGCTTCCTTTCATACTCTCTTGCTCATTTCATTCTCTCAACAAAAGCTTTTCTCGAAAAGTCATTATGTAACTGGTTTCCATTGCGATTATGTTCTGGGAATTATTCAATTATTGACTTTATTTGATAACTTTATAAATCAGCCAATCAGCCAAACCAATCAGCAAAGTCTAGGTGTCTGGGCCTGAGCAAAGTCTAGGTGGATGCACGAACGAGCGGGATTGGGGCTGTTGCTTCATGTCCTTTTTGTCACCGCTCAACAAGTTGAAGGTAGGATTGGAAATGATCTTTGTGCATTGAAAATGATCTTTGTGCAGATTTTGAGATTTACTTTGTGCTTAAAATGAAAACATGCCCTTTCTGGTGCTTCCTGATTGTTTCTATAAGAAAAAAGAGTGTTTTTCCGCTTTCTGAGCACAAAGTAGACTATTGGTGAGAGTAGTTCTGATCGAAAAGTCTTTTAAACTTTAAAATCTGTCATGTTCTAGATTCTAGAATATTCTGGAAATCTAGATTTGTTCTTTAAGGACTTTCTTGCTGTCTTGCAATCTTGCAATCTAGCTGTCTTGCAGTCAATCTTGCAGTCTTGCAGTCAATCTTGCAGTCTTGCAGTCAATCTTGCTGTCTTGCAGTCAATCTTGCAGTCTTGCAGTCAATCTAGCTGTCTTGCAGTCAATCTTGCTGTCTTGCAGTCAATCTTGCTGTCTTGCAGTCAATCTAGCTGTCTTGCAGTCAATCTTGCTGTCTTGCAGTCAATCTTGCAGTCTTGCAGTCAATCTAGCTGTCTTGCAGTCAATCTTGCAGTCTTGCAGTCAATCTAGCTGTCTTGCAGTCAATCTTGCAGTCTTGCAGTCAATCTAGCTGTCTTGCAGTCAATCTTGCAGTCTTGCAGTCAATCTTGCTGTCTTGCAGTCAATCTTGCTGTCTTGCAGTCAATCTTGCAGTCTTGCAGTCAATCTAGCTGTCTTGCAGTCAATCTTGCTGTCTTGCAGTCAATCTTGCAAACAAGCATTTTCTGGCGTTCAATTCTGCAATTTTCTTTTGATGCAATGGGAAAAATGAAGAATTAAGTACACCAGAAAGGATGTGTTTACGCGTTTTGACAGATCTTGCTGTCTTGCAGATCTCAAAGAAAAATTGGTTTATTTTTTCAAAAAACAATTTCAGATGTGGGCTTCGAGGTAAGGGTGCCAGCTAGAACCACCACTGAAACGTGGCCACACAATGGAGCGGGACAGTTCAGGGTAAAGTGATTCAATGATTTGGATGATAGCTTTTATAATTCTTGACATAGTTCTTGTGATTAAGTGCTTATTCACTTAATCACAAGAACTATATTAAGCATTATAAGAGCTACCGTAAATACTGTAATAGTACCCCAGCCCCATAATGACGGTGCGGAGCGTTGTGTAGTCTAGCCTTGACCGAGTTTTTCTCGACACTGGTTTATGCTACAATGTTCGCTTATGTACCAAAAAATAGCTGAGATTCAGGGCTATTTTTTGATACCAAAGTGCGCACTGTAGCTTAAAGCAGCACGGAGAACGGGATGTTTAAAGTTAGACTATGCAACCATCCCGAAAAATACTAAAAAACTTTTGCGACTACGCGACTGTACGAGCGGGGTGGGGTACTATTACAGTATTTACGGTATATTATATAAGAATTACAGCACTTAACACAAGAACCACAACATTTTTGTTGTTATCTTTTACATTTTCCAGGGTTTCGCCACTCCACAACCACCCGGAATTCTGCCGTCAGATCCAAATATGAGTAAGCATTTCCTTTTGTTTGCTGTGACTTATAAGGCGTTAAAGCATTCATGGCCTTCTGCTTTAGTCTCATTTAGCTTAGCCTTCAAGGCTCAACGGGAAAACCAATCGCGCAAGGCTTGTCCTAATTTGACCAGCTCTGGAGGAAAATCAGATTAGACCAGATTAGACTTCTAGCCTGGATTAATCTGGCCTTCTGCTTTAGCCTAATCTAACTTAGCCTCTAGCTTAGCCTCTAGCTTAGCCTCTAGCTTAGCCTCTAGCTTACCCGGAAAAATAGCCGATGAAACGATCCTGACAAAACTAGAGTTATCTGAACTACCTGACTACAAGAATCTGAACTACCTGACTAACAAAAGGATGCGACAGGATGCGATGACAGGATGCAAAAGTTCTGTCACCTTCATAAAGCCGACCAAACCTCAAAAACTGAATTTCGTTTCAGCTCAATGAAGAATATCATAGAAAATTTTAGCTAGAAAGCATAGAGCTAGATTGGAAAATATTGCAAATAGTAAATGAAATTGGGTTTTCTTTGTTTTTGAGGCTAAAACTAGTTACAAAACCAGACAAACGCGATTCCCCCCGCAGGAAACGCGTTTCGCAACTTTGCAGCGCTCTAGCAAAAGTTTAGAAACTTTTCTGATCAAATCCAGAAAATAAATTGCAGGAGAAATATTCAATTTGATAATAAGAAAAGAATTAGGCCGATTGATTGACGCTTCGCTAAGTGGGAGAATCTGAACTGGGTGGAGAATCTGAGCGGGTATTTGTGCGCCACAATTATGTAAGCCACAATAAGCCACACCCCACAAAGGCGTTAAAGCGTTCATGGAAAAACCAGTTCAAGACGAAGATCGTTCAAGACTAAGATCGTTCAAGACGAAGATCGTTCAAGATTAACATCTAAGACAAGACTAATTTCACCTATAATCACAAAAAAAGATTATTTTCTGTGATAGATTTAGAAAGGTAACGTAAACATATCATTCCAGTGTTCGCCTCGGTTTGGGCCACCTGGTCCGCGTGGTCGTTTTGCGTGAATGGGATGAGAATGAGAGTGAGAGCTTGTAACACGGTTCGAGGTTTCTCGTGTCTTGGAGCAAATAAAGTAAAATGAAATACGATTTGTTATTTACAAAAAAGCATTAGGAAGTGCAACCATGTGACGCTTTCGATCCGGGAATAATGACACAACGCAGAAGGATCGAAACGAGTGGTAAGTGATTTGGAAAAGGGAATATGTAAAGCAATTCAAAGCAAATGACAAAAGAAAGTCAGATTTAAAAGCTTCCAAGCTGGCTGTTCAGCCAAATTGTTGGCGATTCAGCTGGCTGTTCAGCCAAATTGCTGGCTATTCAGCTGGCTATTCAGCTGGCTATTCAGCTGGCTATTCAGCTGGCTGTTCAGCTGGCTGTTCAGCTGGCTGTTCAGCTGGCTGTTCAGCTGGCTGTTCAGCTGGCTGTTCAGCTGGCTGTTCAGCTGGCTGTTCAGCTGGCTGTTCAGCCAAATTGCAATTTGCAAGAACAGCCGGTTGTTCTTGCTTTAAATGAACTCAATTCCTTAATAGCTCAAATGTAGATTACGATTCGGTTGATCCATGGGAATCGGATCGACGAGAAGCGATGAAACAACTCTACACAGATCCAGATGTAGATGAAGATGCAAATGAAGATGACCCAATGGTAAGATTGGATTGGAATTGCAAAGATTGGAATGGCAAGAGTTGAGATTTCCAAAGAATAACCAACAACGATAGTTTTCTAACCTAACTAACAACGATAGTTTTCCATTATAGAGAACAATTACATCCTATTTCTATACAAATTAAGCAAGCTCTTGTTTTCTCGTGGAAATGAAAACTTCAATTATAAATGTAAATGTAATAAAAGTATCCTGAAAAGTTGAAAACCGGTAATTTTTCGATAATTCGATAATTCGATAAATTCTTACAGCCACCGCAACCGCGAAATGACGACAATTTCGCGACGCTCAACAATAATGGGCTTGGAAAAAGACACCGCGCTGCTGGGGTGAAAACGATTGGTGAGTTGGAAATAAAATCTATATTCCTCTTGGCTGATTTGCCTTCAAAAAGAACCGATTTCAGTAAACTATCAAGCTGCCAGTTTACATTCAATCACCCTTTGGTATCACTGAAACAACAATTTAAACAACTGTAAAACAACTTTCAACTTTGGTATCATCGATGAGAAAACAAAAAAGCTCAGTCAGTCAATGATACTAAAAACTGATTGAATGCAAGCTGCCAGCTTGATTACAGGGTGGGCCAAAGTTACCGTTGCATATAAAAAGTCTCTGTATAAAAAGCAACTCAAAAGATTTTTCAAAGGTCAAAGATTCTTAAAAATGACTTTTATTGTATAATAAAAATTCATAAAAACTATTCCTTTTCAAACAGATCTCCAATAGCTTTTACACACGCGTCCAAACGTCGTAGAAAAGCGTCGATCGTGTAGGTATAGGAGATAGGAGATAGGAGATCCAGATCCAGGTATAGGAGATCCAGATTCAGGTATAGGAGATCCAGATTCAGGTATAGGGGATCCAGATTCAGGTATAGGAGATCCAGATTCAGGTATAGGGGAACCAGATTCAGGTATAGGAGATCCAGCTCTTCTCAAGCCTTTTCGAGCGCTTTTTTCAAACTATCAACAGTTTTGTGTAGTTGATAGCGTCAACTGATAGCATTTGTGATTTATTTTTCTTGTGGGCCTTTAACTTGAGCTTGTTTTTGATCATTCTTCTAAGGGATGTTCGCTCTGTATCCCCATTTTTTATGACATTTTCCATTAGTTTGGCGTTTTCAACGGGCGATTCCTCACTTTTTTTTGACATTTGCTGAAGTTGTTACCGTTCGCTTTCTTCCATTTCGCCTTCTTCCATTTCCCTTTTCGCATTTGCGCGTGAGTGAGCATTGTAACGGTAATTTTGGCCCACCCTATACAATAGTTTTCTAAAATAGATGTCTTTTAGAGTTCTAATTTCATATACCGCATTTTCTCTAATAGTAGTGCACCCCGGCAAGCCGAGTTAGCCGAGTTGGCGAGCCGATTTTACAGTTTCCAAACTTTTGCAGAAGCTCAACACTCAAATCCCCCACTAGATCTCATCGTGAGCTACATTTTCCGACCCCACATCGATAGGTTCTGATAAGCGGTTCTCGAGATTTCGAGCACTTTAGGCGACGCTCAGGGTGCACTACTATTAGAGAAAAACAGTATTTATATCCAGATTTTAGCTCAACCACGTGTCAATGGAGTGCCTCTATTAGGGGATCCTCAACGATTCTTGGGTAAATTGTTTTAAAAAACATTGTTAAAGAAACTTTTAGAAAGACAACGATTGCTGGAAGAAGCTGAGAAGGCAAAAATCGGAATTCATGGATTGAGGAGACCTAATGTAAATGAAATCATCAATCCTCATCCACCTGGCGTTCAGCAGAAAGGAGACATCAAAAAGGAGGCGGCGAAAGCGTTGGTCAATCGGAAACCACCTGTTGAAAGGTTTGTTTGAACTAACGATTATAAGACAATGATAGACTCTAACTAGAAGTTTAGCCTACACTAAAATTATCGTCTTATTCAGGGATCTTTCAACCTAGGGTCACCAGGCTGATAGTAAGCCAGGCCAGAACAGAACAGGATCTGATTTCTAGCCTGGTCTGATTCAGAGGATTCGAAAATACTGATTTTATCTTACATAAAGAAGATAGTATCTGTAGTTATTATTGTTGGTTTAGATATAATCTTTATTATAGAGATAATAGTTGGTTCAGTGGTTTGAGATTGGGAGAGTAGAGACACGGCACGGCACACCCCGGCAGCTCGTTCACATTGCTTTTATACGGAACTCAGGCGTTGGTCTCGTCTTGCACACAATGGAGTTGAACGGATAGCGACGCACATTAAATCTCGCACAATAGGCGTTCGTCCACATAGGTGCCTAGCTGGTCATTTCCATACGTGGCAATCTCGATCACGAGATCGTCACGACAGTATCTGTGCTAAATATTTAGCGCTTCGGATCCTTCAATCATGCCAATAGTACTTGTTGCCGTCTGGACAATCTAAATTAAGTTTTCTCTCATGGCTGAAGATGACCTACAAAGAAAAAAGATTAGTTAACAACTCAAGGCAAAAAGTTTGTGTTTTTGTGGACAAGAGCTCCAATTTTTGCCTTGACATCAATGAATTCGACAACAGACGTCTAATATGCCATTCAGCGACGTCGTTGATGACGTCCCGATGACTTCTTGCCATAATTGAAAGGATCCTTCGTTCGAGTTCATGCGACAAGTCACAAATTCTAAATCAAGAACGTCATCCACATTGAAAGCGCCCCATATCATTAGTGATCCTCCTCCGAAGTTTCGACGCCCACAAATCATTGAATCTTTGCTCAGATCGTGCAAATAGTACTTGTTGTCGTCGGGACCATCCAAATTCAATTTTTTCTCATCGCTGAAGATGAAAAAAAATAGTTAACAACTCAAGGCAAAAAGTGTACTTTTCTCCAATCGATGGTGATGTGATCCCAAGCCCAAGACGTCCTTTTTTTTGTGCGCCGGTTTCAGTTTTGGTGCTTTCTTCATGACTGCTCTTTTGATGTAAGACATACACTTGATGGCTCGAGAAAGAATGTTTTTGTGGACAAGAGCTCCAATTTTTGCCTTGACATCAATGAATTCGACAACAGACGTCTAATATGCCGTTCAGCGCCGACCGTGCGCCGTGCGTTTGATGATGTCCGAATGACTTCTTGCCATAATTGAAAGGATCCTTCAAGAAATTTGCGACAACTTGGTGCCAGCACTTCATTTTCTTTGTGATCTTCCGATTCAACAACTTTCTTCCTTTCAAAATCGCAATTTTCATCTGTTCGATTCGGGAAAGCTATTTTCCACGTTCCATCTTCCTAAAAAAATAAAAATTAGTTTGAAAAAGAAATAGAACAAGCCACGCAATAGCCATAGAAAGAAAGAAAGAAAAAAAGAAAGAACAAGCCATAGAAAGAAAGAATGAAAGAAAAAGCCATAGAAAAATGGTTATTACAGGTCGAAAATAAAAAAAGAAACATGATGATCCTATCATTTTGCAATCGATGGAAAAAAGAATGTTTTTGTGGACAAGAGCTCCAATTTTTGCCTTGACATCAATGAATTCGACAACAGACGTCTAATATGCCGTTCAGCGCCGACCGCGCGCCGTGCGTTTGATGATGTCCGAATGACTTCTTGCCATAATTGAAAGGATCCTTCAAGAAATTTGCGACAACTTGGTGCAAGCGCTTCATTTTCTTTGCGATTTTCCGATTCAACAACTTTCTTCCTTTCAAAATCGCAATTTTCATCTGTTCGAGCGATTCGGGAAAGCGATTTTCCACGCTCCATCTTCTTAAATTAAATTCTTTGGTTTTGCGATTCATTCTTGGGAGTTAAAACACTAAATCTTGTGAGAAATTGCAATAATACAGTGCACCAGGATGAGTGCGTTTGGACAGAAAGTAAACAAGTTTGTGCATTCTTTAGAATCGAAGAACCACACCAAACAAAGGAAACGATTGTTTCAACTACGACACCAACAACAACGACAACAACAACGACACCAATCGTGACGCAAATCATGTATGATTTTAAACTTAGTTTAGATTAGTTTTAGATTAGTTCTATTAGGTTGATGCATAAGTCTTTTCGTTTTTTTTCGTACTTCTGTTAAAAAGTAACAAATTCACCAATTAATCTATAGTTTGCTCTATAAAAAAAGTGTTTTTTTTTGTTCAATTTGCATCTTTTTAAAAATACCGACTGGGGCTACCAGTGGTGAATTTATCGCATACACGAAATATATCAATCACAATACAACGACACACACAATACTAGGCTATATCTTAACTTAACCCACGTCATGACAGACGGCTCCCTAACCCTAAGCTCAATGGGGAACTAAATAGCTTTTTTGGTGGTGAAGGGAAGATGACGATGAAGGAGTGGCTTGTCACTTTAAAGAACTGGGGCCACAACCACCAGACTGCCCTCCAGAAAACCTCTCAACCCGAAGGGAAAGGAAATCCGAAGGGGGTGACCATGTCGCATGTGGGGTTCGAACCCTCGACCTTCCGATTAAGATAAAAGACACTTAACCAGTCAGCCACACGTGCTTTTTAAATGAATTTCGGTTCACTTTCAAGCAAATTCGAGAGTGAAAAACGCCTTTTTCGTAAAAATCTATAAAAAACTCTACGGAAAAATTGGCTGAATGAATTTCTCTGAAATTTTGGCGAAATATCAAACGTTTTTTTCTCTATCTTTTATCTATTGACACGAAGATAGGTTTTATTTAGCTAAGGTGTCTAAACGGCATCATCGAGTTAGCCCTTTTTGACTACCCGACTTCATACTCTCAAGAAAATCCAGGCATTAAATATTTTTAAACCCGTTTTAATGTTATTTTGCAGAAAAATAATTGGTTTTTCTAATGAAATCAACCGTAGTTTAATTGGTGCATTTGTTGGCTTGAAACGGCAGACGAAAAGGAACAAAAACACTTATGCATCAACCTATTAGATTAGTTTTAGATTAGTTCTAGATTTAGTTTTATCATCTAAATAAGCTCTAGATAAGCAAAGCTCTAGATAAGCACTTGTTTAATTCTAATTATAAGTTTAAAATCATACATGACTTAGTTTAGATTAGTTTTAGATGAGTTTAAAATCATATAATTAGAATTAAACAAGTATTTGCTTATCTAGAGCTTATTTAGATGATAAAACTAAATCTAGAACTAATCTAAAACTAATCTAAAACTAAACTAATCTAGAACTAATCTAGAACTAATCTAGAACTAATCTAGAACGACTACTGTACTCCCTATGACGGAAAGGGTTCATTTGCGCAATTCGGGACACTCATTCTTTAACGCTTCTCCAAGAAGACAACATGTGGTAAAATTTTAAGTTCACTTAGCTAAAAAATTCTAGAAGTTCTAGAAGCTAAAAAGTTCTAAAATCTAGGTTATTTTAAAATTTTTATCGATCACAGCTTATTAACTTTATACATTCTTTGAACTTTGATTCCAGGCCTCCAACGATGACTCCAGCCACTCCACCGAACATTACCCTCCCCCAGTGGTCGTAGTACCGAAAAGGAGGTTAGGCGCATTTTTTTGTGATCAAAGCAAGTCAACAATTCAGACTCGAGCAATCGATCCAAATCCCGAGTCCAGTTCCCGTGCAACCGTTCATTCGACCTGCGATTTTGGTGAGTATACTAACTTTACACATTTTTTTGATTTTTGCGTAGATGATTTCCCTTTCAGCTCGTCTAAAAACGTTCACAGGCAACCGATTTACTTAAATTAGCGCTCAAAATAAAGAAAAATGTTTGCGAATCATTTATTTGAAAACTCTTTTGAAAAAATATCGACTTTGAAGAGAGTTATGAATCTTTGAATGCAAGTTAATTCAAGGCACCGGTTTTCTTTTCTCATGCTCAGAAATTTCTCATCCTAAAACAATTCTGAACTTCCTTCAAACTCACTCTTTCTTTAATCTGTTTTCAGATAAATGTTCCTTAAACATTTCTCTTTATTTTGATCCCTAAATTAAGTAAATCGATTTCCTGTGAACGTTTTTAGACGAGCTAAAAGGGAAAAAATCTCATCGTAAATGTGTTAAAAGCAAAGCTTGGTTATTTTTGCCTAAAAAATCTACCTTTAAAATAATATATTTTATTGAAAAACCTTTTAGACTACCGAATTCCCTTCGTTAATCGGATCTGAAGAGCTGGAGGATTCGGAAGGGATAGAAGAAAGCGACGAGAAAGGAGACAAGGGGAATGAAGTAGTTTTTAAAAACGAAATCAATTAAAGCTTTTGAATCAATCAATTAAAGCTTTTGAATCAATCAATTAAGGCTTTTCAATCAATCAATTAAAGAAATAAGAATCGTGTCCATAGTTTTTATCTAATCAATCTACTTTTTAAACTTTCTGTATCCCTTCGTGAACCCTCAAAAAATCAGATCAAAATACCGTAAACACTCAAATAGAACGCCACCCCCATAATGACGAGCGTACAGTCGCGTAGTCTAACTTTGAACGTCCCGTTCTCCGCGTTGCTTTATGCTACAGTGTGCACTTGGGTGTCAAATGATAGCCCTTGAAATCTAGTATTTCAGACAATGTGTAAAGTAGTTAAAGCTTAGGTTTGATTTGATTTACAGTTTAATATGATTCTTGTTTTATTGTTCAAAAATTTAGAATGAGATTCCCGAGTTGCCCGATGGTTTAGAAGAAGAGTTCCCCACTGGTTTCACGCCGCAGGATGTTCAGGTTTGTTCGATAGAAAAGATAGACAATGAATTATGGACTTCAAAATAGCGTTTCAACAGTTTCAACAGTTTCAACCGTTTCAACTTCTCTAAAAGCTGAAACTGTTGAAACTGTTGAAACTGTTGAAACGCTGGAATACTGTTGCTGGATACTGTGTCTAATCTTAACTAATCTTTTGATCTTAACCAGTAACAAGCTAACAGCTAACAGTAACAGCAAGCTCAGAATTTCTTCGACGATGACACCCCACACTTTGATCCATTGCCTACAAAAAGCCCGCTTTCGACAGAAGAAACCACTAAAAGACCAAATCAAGGACAAGATTGGCAAAAACAAATTGGGGATTCAAATAGAAAAGAAGTCAAAGAGATGAAGGAAAGCATTGAGAAAATGCCAAAGACGTTGACCAAGGTAAACTGACGAGAAAGGATGGACTTTTTGAACTTTGACTGCTGAAAGAAACCCAATTTGAGCTGCCAAATCTGAATCTGTAATTAGTTTTTGCCCAATCCTTTGATAGAGGAGAATATTAGGTTGGTGAATCGAAAACTGCGGGACTTTGAACTAAAATCTATTCACCATAAAAGAATCAATTCATTCCAAATAATTTCCATTATTATGGACGACTTCTGCCCATTTTACAGGCAATTTTCGGATTCCTCTTTCGTGGTAGGATTTTGGTTTTGAATCGAAAAACTTTCAAAGCCAATTTTTGACTGCTTCTTCCGAATCGAAGTGTTCTCCCGCAAGCTCATTACTCATGATCCGGAATAAATCGTAATCAAAAGGGGCGAGGTCCGGACTGTAAGGGGAATGCGCCAGAAGTTCCCAAACAAAGCTAGTTATTTTAGAGCCTGAAATAAGAGAAAAGATCTTTGGTAGATTTTACCGTCTTCTCAATACGTTTTCTAAAAGGTGCTTGTTTTAGAAAGCGACTGGAATAATATTGGGTTGGTGAATTGAAATCGGACTTTCTACCGGACTTTGAACTAAAATCTATTCAACATAAAAGAATCAATTCATTCCAAATAATTTCCATTATTATTGACGACTTTAGCCCATTTTGCAAGCAATTTGCGGATTCCTCTTTCGTAGTGTTTTCTTCTATCAAACAATTGAGCAAACCAAATCACCCAATCAAAGGATTGAACAAAAACTAATGATAGATTCAGCTCAAATTGAGTATAATGAAGCAGTTAAATTTCAAAAAACCCATAATAACTGTAAGAATTGGGCTGATGAGTTTGCGGGTTTCAGGAAGAGCTCCTCGAGTCTTCTCCCACCGAATTAGAGCTGATAGAAACTCTGGAAGCCGAACGGAAAAGTGTTGAGGTGAGCTGGGAGAATTTTTGTGTTTATGTTTTCAATTCTAGGCACAGAACTCGGAAAAGGCGGAGATTGAGGTGGAGGATGAGAAAACACAGGTTTGTGTTACTAAATTTTCATTACTTTGTTCATTTTTCATTAAATTTTCATTCATTCCTGAAATGTTAGTCCTCTAAGTTAAATGCGTTTTCTAAAAGGCGTCAAACTACCAACAATTTCCATTTGATCAGCTCAATTCTCGTAGAATTGATTGAGTTTTGTGATTCCTTATCAAATATTAGGTACATGCATAAGAAATGCGGATTTGAACATTTTCATAAATTTCCAACGATAGAAACATCGATTTCCTGATATCGATTTTCTGATATCGATTTCCTGATATTGATGAATGTTATAAACTATTATGAATGTTGTAAACGAAAGCTGTAAATCTCCTCTACAAAATAGGCTAAAAGGTGTTTCAATTGATCGAAGCATTGAAGAAATTTCGAGGGCCAAATGCGAGTGACCAAAAAAAGGAATCGAGTCACTTTAGGGACAAGTTTAGTGTCGTCAAAATAGAGTTAGCTTCCCAAAATGAAAGATTTAAAAACGAAAGAATAACTATATATAAATTCATTAAAAAAAAGTCTAACGGAAATGCATTTACAGAAATTTAGATAAAGCGCAAGTTTAAAACCCTCAAAATTGTCAAAAAACCAGCCTTTTCACAGAAAGGAAAAATTATTGTAAAAATAAAGTTTTCCCATGAAATGATCCCAAGTCTTAATTATTTTGAATGATATTTTTGGGGCCGTCATTTTCCACTATATAGTCAAAAGCGAACTCTTGTGAAAGTGGGGTTTTGACTCTATTTTGACGACACTAAACTTGTCCCTAAAGTGACTCGGTTCCTTTTTTTGGTCACTCGCATTTGGCCCTCGAAATTTCTTCAATCGTTCGATCATTTGAAACACATTTTAGCCTATTTTGTAGAGGAGATTTACAGCTTTCGTTTACAACATTCATAATAGTTTATAACATTCATCGATATCAGGAAATCGATATCAGGAAATCGATATCAGGAAATCGATATCAGGAAATCGATATCAGGAAATCGATATCAGAATATCGATGAATGTTTCTATCGTTGGAAATTTATGAAAATGTCCAAATCTTATGCATTTCTTATGCGAAAATGTTCAAATCCGCATTTCTTATGCGAAAATGTTCAAATCCGCATTTCTTATCCTAATAATACAAAAATTTGGGTGATTCAATGTAAATTGGTAGTTTGATTACAGATTTTATAAGATTTTTACTCTAGATTTCTAAGAAAAGTCACTTATTTGTTTAAACTGATTGTTTGTTGTTTGTTTTTCTCTTAAAATATTCAAGTTATTGCAAAGTTTAGGCCGAAATCCCTCTTGCTTCGATTTTCTCCGAGAAAGCAATTCAACAAGAAAGCACAGAAGAGCCAGACATTGTGAATCCATTCCCTAAACAACAACTTCTAACAACAATGGTTTAATTCCTTTCAATTTTAGATGACTTTTTTCACTTTTAGATTAGAGGAGACATCGAAGTGCTACCCGAGCACGAATCGCATCAATCGTCGATTGAGATCGATCAGCCAGCGATTGAATCGTTTGTTTCACGATGTTGCAAGAGAAAAATTTTCTGGGTCAAGGCAAAACCAGGCCAGAAGTTAGGTTTTGGCTCAAAAGGCCCTAGAAAAGTCCATGGATCAGCCGAGCCTGATCAGTTCCGGTTTAGGTCAAGCCAGGAAGCCAGGTCCAGGTTTGCCTATTTGATCTTTGCTCCTAGTTCGGGAATACTTTGGCCATAGATTTGGGCCAGAATTGTGGTAAAGCCTGGCCACGATCTGGGTCTTCTTGCAAACACGATCTGGGCCTTCTTGCAAACATGATCTGGGTCTTCTTGCAAACACGATCTGGCCCTTCTTGCAAACACGATCTGGGCCTTCTTGCAACCACGATCTGGTCCTTCTTGCAACCACGATCTGGTCCTTCTTGCAAACACGATCTGGGCCTTCTTGCAAATAGCCAGGCTTATCCCTGATTTCTGCCTTTCCTAATTTGGCCCACAGACCAGGCCAGGACTCGGTATTTTTGGGAGAATTGCTAGAGCTTAGCTCAGAAGCGTTCAATCAATTTACATCCAAAGAAGAAAATTTAGCAAAAACTTCAGGCTACATTATGGCTATAATAAAATTTTTCTAAAATGAAATTCACCGGGAAAAATTTGCACTTTTGTTGAGAAAATTTAGAGGGAACAGAGTTTTAGACCCAGAAAACTCTGTTCCCAGAGAAAAGTTATCCAGAAAACTTCTAATTGCTGCCAATCGATTCTCCGTGTCGGTTTACATAGGATACGTAAGCTAAAATTTTGATTTAAAGCTTGTGAAGCGAGCTAGAGAGGCTCAAAGTTGAGTTGCCACGACTTTTTTGCGCCTCTGCCCAACTTTGAGCCCCTCTAGCTCGCTCCAGAAGCTTTAAACTGAATTTTTAGCTTACGGATTCTATGTAAACCGATACGAAGAATCGATTGATGGCAGTTAGAAGTTTCCTGGATAACGTTTAAGGGTCTAAGACTCAATATTTTCAGAAAAGAAGAAACCCAGCCGTTGAACAGCAACAATCCCACCTTTGCCAACAACAAGATTGATCGAAAATCCCTGCAAGAAGCACAGGAAAAAGAGTTGGAATGTTTTCAAGAAACTCTTAAGTGATTTTTAGAGACATTGAACAAATAAGTATGGGTCTTGTGGACGAGACACCGGTAAAGCCAAGAAATGCCCCAGAACATTCAACAATTGGGGAAGAGATGGACTTTCTGCAGCCTTTCCCCTCGCAAAATCGAGCTCAAGGCTGGAAGAGGACCATTAATAAACCGTTTCTGGTAAAATACTATATTATTGCTTTTAGAAAATGTTCATCTTCTTACAGTATCTAAAAGAATCGGCTCGTCCGACACTGCAAGACGTTTTCCCACAACAACGCCAAGATGAGAGCGGTTTTCAAGTGAATTTTTTGGATGAATAGACAAGATTTGAATCTATTTTTGGCATAAGGATTCAAAAATATGTTTTACTAGGGTTTATGAAGTTTTATGAAGTTTTTCAGGGTCAACTAATCCATCCGATGCCACCAAAGCCTCGCCTGGTAAGGATTTGATCTTGAACTTTCCTTTCTCTTTCTTCCTTTCTCTTTCTTTCTTTCTCTTCCCCTTGCTCTTCTCTGGCAAGAAGATACAGGCTCAGTGGTTGGAGCAATTACCTGGAAAGCAAAACGTCGAGGGTTCAATCCCCACTCCAGAAATCTTTCTTTTCCTTTTCTTACTTTATTATCTGGCTTCCTACTGATTTCCTACTTCCTGATAAAATCAATAAACTCGATTTTAAGGAAAACCATGGAGAAATCAGTGATGATACGGCGAGAGCTCTTGATTGGATGCTGGCAAATATTACGCGAGTCGCTGAAGATGGTGATCGGAAGTTCTTCTCGCAGCGGAGCGCTCAACAGGTTTAAAATGGGATCATTTCATTAGAATGCCTCCTAAACTATCTAGCTAGAGCAGGCTGATGATTTGGGTGGGTTTCGAAAAGAGAATAGACTATGCCAGGGTCTGGTTAGGATCAGGATTAAGATTGGCTTCTGGTCTGATAGTGAATTGTTTCAAAGCACTTTTTTCGTCAAACCTGAGCCAGAGGCAGGGTTCTAATCTTGATTGGATGCTGGCAAATATTACGCGAGTCGCTGAAGATGGCAATTGCCTGACCTCGGTTTACTAGAGGCTTGGCTTAACTTACAGCTCTGCTTGACTTAACTTACAGCTTTGCTCTGCTTCTGGTGTGCTCGGATAGTTTTTGGGCCAGGCTAGGCCAGGCTGGGCCAGGCTAGGCCAGGCTGGGCCAGGCTGGGCCAGGCTAGGCCAGGCTGGGCCAGGCTAGGCCAGGCTAGGCCAGGCTAAGCCAGGCTGGGCCAGGCTAAGCCAGGCTGGGCCAAGCCAGACCAGACCAGGCATCTAGCTAATCCAACTATAGCTTTGTCTTGTTGACGGAGTGAATTGATTGCAGGTCATGGCCTGAATGCTTTCATTTCGGCTTACTGTAGTGAGCTTCGATAGTGAGCTTCGATAAGATTAGCTGTATTGAAGGGCTGAACTTGGGAAAACGATAAAATATCTCTACAGTATCTCCACAGTACCCTTAATCAATCAATCAACTATAGCTTTGTCTTGTTAAAGGAATGAATGAATTGCAAATTTCCAGGATCCATCTGGATATTCAAACACTTTGCCACACAAACAACTACCTCAACTGCCAGCTGTAAGAATGTTTATCAAATGTTTATCAAATGGAAAAAAAAAATTTCAATTTTAGGGTACACGCGTTGTGCACGGGATCAGCAAAAAGAAACCGGTTTTTTTAAAAATTTCAATAGTTTAAAAGTTTTTGCAGGCAGGCGCGGCGAGCTATGCACAACGGAAAAACGCTGGATGGACTCATAAAACGGTATTAGATAAACATTAGATAAACATTTAGATTTGATTAAATAATCAAGATCTTTATAAGTTTTACAAGCTACAGGCCAGAACATAAGCTAGGTCTAGATGAGCTATCTACAGGCCGATCTAGATCTAGCGAGCTAGTTCGGAACTTGGCTTTAATCTTGCAAAAAAAAAACTCTTGTCTAGCATTCGGGTGGCGTCACGACAAGGCCGTCAATGAGACAAATGAAAGGAATCAGTCATAGAAAGGTTTCGAAAATGATCAATAACATTTCTGGGCTGAAGATCAATAACATTTCTGGGCTATTTCCATAAAGTTTCCTAATCTATTAACAAAGATAACTTCCTAAAATTGCCCTTTCAATATTTTAGTCCTTTTAAATCAAAACAACTTTTCTTTTTTGTACTTTATGCTTAAACTTGTAAACGCAACCTTCCTAGCGCATTCAATTCTTCATTTTCACACTGAAATGATCAATGGTTGCGTGAAAAATCAAGAAACGAGTTCACCAGGAGGATGTGTTTGTAAACTTTGAGCACAAAGTACACCTGTTTATTACAATCGACCTGCAAAAAGACTTTGTCTACAGTAAACCACCAAACTTTTCAAATTACCCAAATTGTAGAAAAGAAATTCTAATATTATAACATAATTAATGCTCAAGGCTTGGAAGGGTCTCTCGAAACCGAAATACCCAAAAGTGGACGGTGGAGCGGAGAGTAACAACAATGAATACGGTGATCGAGTCGTTCGAGAACAGGTGCTAACATATCGCTTTTACTAACGATTATCTAATATCTTTATCGAATATCTTAATCTAATATCTTTATCTTTATCTAAATCTCAATCTTTATCTAATATCTAGTATAAGTTAAAATTGGCAGTAACATTGATTTCAGGTCCAAAAAGCAACCTTCGCCCGTCAAAAGCCTAAGGGTTTCTATGGCTATGATGGGTTCAACTTTCAGCGACAAAAGGCACACGCTGCACCAACTGTTCAACAGGTTTGATAAAGTTTACGTTTCAAAATAAAGCCGATCACTTTGATGAGTCAGGGCTAAGGTAACTTTTCAGACACTGGGCCCACGGTAGCTTTTGAGCCAACATGTTTACTGTAGTTTCGGCCAGTATGGATTACGGTAGCTTTTCAGCCAAGAGGATTACAATAGCTTTTCGGATACTGGAACTACGATAGCTTTTGAGCCAGTAGAATTACGGCCGCTTTTCGAACGCTGAGATTACGATAGCTTTTGAACCAACAGGTAGTTCCAGGCAGTATGGATTACGGTAGTTTCAGCCAGTGTGGGTTACGGTAGCTTTTCGGCCAAGAGGATTACAATAGTTTTTCGGCTACTGGGACTACGGTAGCTTTTGAGCCAGTAGAATTACGGTAGCTTTTGAACCAACAGGTTTATGGTAGTTCCAGCCAGTATGGATTACGGTAGCTTTTCGGACACTAGGATTACGGTAGTTTTGTTGAAGTAAACGGGTTGACTAGACAAAGCTGAAGGGCTTGGCTTGACCTGAAAACTCTTACAATAAATCCTCAATAAAACCCTCAAAAATTATCGCTGATCTAGAAAGGGTTTACGATTGGATTACATTAGCTTTTGACTAGTGGATTACGGTAGGACAGATCTTTTAGATCAAACAAAACAACCTATGAAACAAAACAAAATAAACTGATCATTCTTAGCGACAGAAAAACTTGTAAATTTCAATTTCAGAACGACAAAGACGGTCTCGTTGGCGAGATCGCGGCGCTCGAAGAGTTGATGAAGAATATCGAGACTGAGGTTTGGGGAAATCGTCTTGAAAACTTTCAGCTTCAGCTAAAAAGTTTTAGCTGAAAACGGTTGATGAGAAGAAACACAAAGCTGCTGAGGCAATCCAAGAGTTTAGGAGGTTTTTTTGTAAAAATTCTATTGGTTCAGTAGCCCATTCAGAGACGAAATCGAAGCGGTACCCATTGAGAACGATGGTCTTCATTCTGATATCAGCCTGGTTAAGGTGGCTTTTGCAAAGGTTAAAAAGTGGTTGAAAGGGAATACAGTCGTCGTTTCGCTACATAGGGTTTTCAGTCTCAAGCTCAGCTCAAGTCTCAAGCTCAGCTCAAGTCTCAAGCTCAGCTCAAGTCTCAAGCTCAGCTCAAGTCTCAAGCTCAGCTCAAGTCTCAAGCTCAGCTCAAGTCTCAAGCTCAGCTCAAGTCTCAGCTCAAGATATTCAGACATTCGCCTGAATGCTTTCATTTCAGCTTACTGTAGTGAGCTTCGATAGTGTGCTTCGATAAGGTTAACTGTATTGAAGGGCTGAACTTGGGAATACTATAAAATAGCTCTACCGTATCTCTACAGTATCTTTAAGTCTAGTAAAACAAGGAATCACCAGTTTCCTGACTCATTACAGTATGCTAGATGCTAGTTTACAGTTGCTCAAAAAGTATTCAGTCTTTCGAATCTGGACTATTGTAGCAGGACAATCTCCTGTATTTACGTTAGCTTCGTTTGTTAGCTTCGTTCGTTAGCTTCCTTCGTTAGCTTCGTTCGTTAGCTTCGTTTGTTAGCTTCGTTCGTTAGCTTCGTGCGTTAGCTTACATGAATTCTAAGCTCTGTAACAAATCATTTTAAAGATGAGCAAGCCGCCAACAACGACCACAACATCAGCAGCGATGGATCTAGAGTTGGCGCCAAAAGTCGGCTTCGAAGTTCAACGAAAAGCACCCGTCGGAGTTGTTGTGAGTGATAATTGTAGCAAAACTGTGGCCGCATTTTGGAAGCATTCTATTGTAATAGTCCGTAGAAATACCCTGTAGTACTATTGTACTTTTGTACAGCGTTTTATCAGTCAGACATTTGCCAGCAACTTTTCCTGTACACCTGTACAATGGTTTACTTCTCTACCGTACTTCAACACTACAATAGTCACACTTACTGTAGCTAATAGCCAGTTTGATGCACCGATTACTAAAAACAGCTAGATCGCTTAATTAGACACATATTTACTCTCAATTCAATTCGAATTTCAGCCACAGACTCAAAACGAGCCCGTCTTCTTCACCGACTCAATCATGTCCATTGGTGGTTCAAGTATGTTAATCTAGTTAATCTAGTTAATCTAGTTAATCTAGTTAATCTAGTTAATCTAGTTAATCTAGTTAATCTAGTTAATCTAGTTAATCTAGTTAATCTAGTTAATCTAGTTAATCTAGTTAATCTAGTTAATCTAGTTAATCTAGTGATAATCTAGTGATAATCTAGTTAATCTAGTTAATCTAGTTAATCTAGTCAATCTAGTTAATCTAGTTAATCTAGTTAATCTAGTTAATCTAGTGATAATCTAGTCAATCTAGTTAATCTAGTGATAATCTAGTTAATCTAGTTAATCTAGTTAATCTAGTTAATCTAGTTAATCTTGTTAATCTTGTTAATCTTGTTAATCTTGTTAATCTTGTTAATCTAGTGATAATCTAGTGATAATCTAGTGATAATCTAGTAATAAGATTTATCTAGTATTTGATTTATCTAGTATTTCATCAAATATTCAATCAATATTATTAGCAGATCAACTTTTAGCAGCTCATTGGGGTCCGTGGTCAAATTGGGGCAATTGCTTTTGTGGGAATCAAGTGAGAACTCGAGCCTGTGACTATGTTGTCGGTTTCACCACAACTGGATGTGAAGGTGAAAGAAATTGAGAGTAGAATTGGATGCATTGTACAGTGAATTGGATTACAGTGAATGCCACTGTAAAATGTACCTTTTCTATTGTTTACAGGTCCATCCTATGAAGCAAGACCGTGTGTTGGTGGAGTGTGCCCCGATAAGACGAGAGCCACGCAAATCAAGTTTAAAGTGAGCAAAGTGAAGGTGTGTTTCAGAAAAGCCACAAAAGAAACAATATTATCGAATTTTAAATATGATTTTTAAGTTGTTATCGAAATGTTATCAAATTTGAATCAAATTTTCCTATCAATCCCTATCAATTTTAGCTGCACGAACCCACCGAAGCACCGTCGAGAGGAAAATTCGTCACCTTACGCGCGCTTCCTTCAATATCCACTGAAATTAGTGAGACAGATTAAAGAAACTGTAATATAAACCAAGAATTAACTTTATTATTTGTTCTGGCATCAAGCTACTACAAAATCTCTAGTCTTTGGTCTCCTAGAAGCAATTATTGTCTCTGAAGAGTAGATTGAAGCCACAAAACCTAAGATCTGACAGCAGGTTAGAACACCAACTTCTTTTGCTCCAATCGATTCGATGCACTTGCTCGTCGAAGCATCCAGTCAAACTGCCGCGTCATCGCAAGCAACAATGCGCTTGTAGTCGCTCTCTTTGAAATCTGCTTTGATTGTCTTGCTTAGCATCAGAATGTGCTCGAAAATGGCCTTCTCAAATTTGCCGCGCAGCTTTTGGCAAGTTGTTGTTGCTGCTCTCAAAGATTGGTGGCGCTTGAAGAACGACTCCATCCAACCATGACTTCTTTTGAAAGAAATTCGATCTATTTCGAATCGATCGGTCGCTTCATTCCAGAGAATCCGATCACTCGTTTCTTCTCGACTCGACGATATCGTATCCATTCAGCTAAACCGACATCGATCTCTTCCGAGCGGCGTCCGGCTCCATTGACTCTCTTCCGTTTTTCCGCAGATTTTCTCGAGCTCGGCCTCTTGTTTGATGTAGGAATGCACACATTTCCGATTAATCTTGTAGAATGCAGCGGCTACTTTGATCGAAAAATCCTTGCCCATCTTTGCAACAGCAAATTTCGTTTTCACATCAATGGCCTGTTTTTTTTCCTTCTAGGTGGCTCATTCGATCCCCTTGAAGATCCTACAGCTTCAGCATTCACCGAGTTCCCATTGGCATCTTGTTCAGCGCGTTCATCACGCGTTTCTTTGAAGAATTCCATGTGTTCTTCGCATTCTCGACAAGCCCGATATCCCTCAAAACCATCGAGCAATTTCCCGAGATCCATATCTGAAAAAATGAAATTAATGAGGAAACGAGAAAAATTAAAAAATTAAAAAAGAGAAATTAATAATCAACAAATTTATGGGATAAAATGAAAAATACAAATGATTTTCAGGAAAAAAAATGAAAATTTTCCGCTTTAAAAGCGTTGTTTGTAATGGCGCGTTGTTCTCATCTCGTTAAGGGGAGTGGGACAAATGCGACCTTTTTTTTGCGCGCCCGGACATTTGCGCACCTTTTTTTCCGCACCTTGCCCATTAGCGCACCTTTTTTCGCGTTTTAAAAAAGCTCTAAAAGCTAATATTAACCAATTTCTATTCCAAAAGTTGTTTTTCTAGGTAATTTTAGAGCGTAGAATCGAAATTTTGACATATCAGAGCTTGCGGAACCAATTTGAAAGACAAAACGGCTAGATTTGTGGCAGGGTCCTTTTATGGCGTCGGGTTACGGTAGTTTCCGACGTTTGGCGCGGAAGCGTCTGGAAAAGAAAAAGTGACAAAAAAGCGCGAATTTTGCATCATTTTTCAATCATTTTTTCTAAGCGCTGGTTAACGCTAAAAATATGTGTTATATCTCAAAAAATTACCCATTTTCTCTACTTTAATTTGATACTAAAGTGCGCAGAAACAAACGTACTGATGTCGAGATATGAGTGTTTGTTTGAGAGTAAACTTAGACTACGCGATTACAGAAAATTGTCGATTTTTCTCTTTGTATAACTTCGTCCGTTTGTTTCCACAAGCTCTGATATGTCAAAATTTCGATTCTACGCCCTAAAATTACCTAGAAAAAGAACTTTTGGAATAGAAATTGGTTAATATTAGCTTTTTAGAGCTTTTTTTAAAACGCGAAAAAAGGTGCACTAATGGGCAAGGTGCGGAAAAAAGGTGCGCAAATGTCCGGGTGCGCAAAAAAAGGTCGCATTTGTCCCACTCTCTCGTTAAGCCATGTGTTACTTAAAAAACTAGGCAAACTGAGAGAATAATGCGAAGTCAAAGTCATTCATTTTCATTTGAGGTCAAAGTCATTTCTCAGTCAACTCCTTCTATTCTTTTTTAGCTCTTAATTTTGTCTATAGCAAAACCAGCTAAAACCCTCAAGGCTGATCATCCCAAATAATCAATTCTTCTTTCAGTGAACTGATGAATCGATCGACAAGTGTCAAACACGTCTCATCCGTGCGATTCCACAAAATTTCCATTCACAGGGTATCTCTTCATTCCTATTTTTGCTTTTAAAGTTGCTTTTGCTTTTACTTTTCTCTATTTCTCTGGTTGTTTCCCATTCCAAGGCTAATAACTTTTTAATAACCAAAAATCGACGCCTGTATATAGTGGGTGTGCCATACGAAAGATTAAATAATAAAATTAATAATAATAAAAAAAATTTATCCACTAATTGGCACAAAAACAAAAAAATTTTAATCTCAATACATAAATATACAGTATAGAATATAGAAAATTTACAAAATCTCACTGAAATATTCAAAAAAATGACAAGAATTCGCTGCATAAAGACATGAAAAAAGTACGCGTACAAAAAGACACCGAAAATAAGCAAAAATGAGGGACAAAATGCATCAATTTATGCATAAAAGAGATAAGAATTTGGGAAATGAATGAAAATGAAGATGAGAAGTTGAGATAAGGTTCCTTATCGATTCCCTCGATTTCCCTTGATCAACATTGTACTGCTTCTTCGTTCTCTTCACTCTCCGTTGACGTCTCATCGACTACGGTCATTTGGATTGGTTGACCGCCCTGAAAATTATGGTAAGTATTGAGCTTTGTTTAAAAACTGAAATCTTTGATATTAACTCGTCTTTTGGTTCAATTTCTACCAACATTAGGCTAGATTAGGCAGCCTGAGTCTAACCCTGAGCCTAAGCCTGAGCCTAAGCCTAAGCCTAAGCCTGAGCCTAAGCCTGAGCCTAAGCCTGAGCCTAAGTCTGAGTCTAAGCCTTAGTCTAAGCTTGAGTCTAAGCCAAGAAACGCGTCCTAGCTACCGTAGTCCAAAAGCTACCTTCAAAAAAGCCAATATCTTCACGTTATAAATCTATTCTGTATTTTACATTGTTTTTCTCATTGATTATCTAGGTATCTACGTATAGTGGGATTACGGTAGTTGGAATAAGCTTTAGAGAAGCTTTAGAGAAGCTAGAGAAGCTAGAGAAGCTAGACAAGCTTTAGAGAAGCTAGAGAAGCTTTAGAGAAGCTTTAGAGAAGCTAGAGAAGCTAGAGAAGCTAGAGAAGCTTTAGAGAAGCTTTAAAGAAGCCAATGTTCTCAACAAGTTGACAAGCCGACTCCCGGAAAATCCTCTTGTGCATGAAATCTTCTTGAAACCTCTTACCGAATGTGTTCTCCTGTGCGTTTTGATTGTCCTTTGCACTCTCCGCAAAGCAGTTTCTTTATCGGAAAGTCCATCGGAATGAATGGCTCCCATCTCGAGTGATCTCTCGAGTGAGGAAGCCATCGAAGCTGACGATTCCAAGAGCATCAGAGCGTGGCGTCTGAAAATTTTGAAATAGCTCTAATCAAAATTGTTTCTAATCCTAATCAATAGCCAGATTTTGAAGTGTCTTCCTTTCTACCTCCTCTCAATCGCACTCCTCTCTTCATCACTCGTCGTTCGCTCCCTTTGGAACGTTTTCCCAGCTCGATCCGAGTCCAAACTCGACTCGAAAAGATTTCCATTTCGATTGTCCTGAAATAGGTGTTGTTCTTAACGCTTGCTCTTAACGATATTCTTCAAACTGTTTAGATTTATTAGAAAACTATCTATCAGAAACTGTTCCCACCTGTTGCTCTTCTTCCGACGAGCTGCTCTCATCGCTTGCATCCGAATTTCTCCGTTGAGTTGGCATGGGATTGTTGCTAAAGGTTTTTGATTCGGAAATAAATCAATTTCAACAATCAACAAATCAATCAAGCTACCTATCCATCGACGAAGCTAAGTCAATGTTTTGATCGACGCGTAGAAGATTCGGGTTCTCGGCTAGTGGGTTCTCGTATGTGGAGACCGGTGATGAGTACAGTGGATTCGTATATCTAAATGAATAAGTAAATTCAAAACAAAGTAAACAAGCAACAAAGCAAACAAGCAACAAAGTAAACAAGCCAGAAAGCAAACAAGCAACAAAGCACTTCAAGCAAACAAACCCATTCACAGCCGTGTATGCGATCTGATTATTGATGGTGAGTGTTGCCGTTTGTGTGGGTGGAGCAAGGGTTGAGGTCGAGTGATGAACAGTGGGCATTGTGGGCGAAGAGCCGAATGCGGCTAGAGCTTCTTCGTACGAGGACGAGGGAGCGACACTTGCTGATCTGAAAATTGAATTGGAAACTTCTTTTCGCAATATTCGCTACCTGTCACAGTTATCGTAGACAGTGTCGGATCGTTGGCTGGCCACTGATGGGTCTCGTTCGGCAGCAGCCGGGCACGAGGCGCGCTTGTCTTTGTCCCGATTGGCTCTCACTGAAAATTTGGCTTTTTTTGACATATTATTTTTGCAGAGATTATTAGTTTTGATTTTTAATCCAAAAATCTCTATTTTAGAGGATGCGTTTAAGAATTTGAAACACAAAGATATGTTAACCAAGCCTAAGCCTGAGCCTAACCGCCAACGGGTGTCCCTTAGCTCCGAGAACTGGCTGAGATCCAGAAAATGGGGGTTCAGCCCAAACCCAAATAGACTTAGTGCTAGGCGTTAGCCACTAGCCTACGCACTAAGTCCAAGCCTAAGCCTAAGCCTAAGCCTGAGCCTAAGCCTGAGCCTAAGCCTGAGCCTAAGCCTAAGCCTAAGCCTGAGCCTAAGCCTAAGCCTGAGCCTAAGCCTAAGCCTGAGCCTGAGCCTGAGCCTAAGCCTAAGCCTAAGCCTAAGCCTAAGCCAACACCAGCACCAGTACTCGATCACCAATCTGTCTTAACGCTCCAGTACCCACATTTCAATTTCTCTCAACAAACCTTGTGGCACACGTGCCGGCGAGTCTCTCCTGAAATTATCTCGACTTTTCTTCATTCTTCTTCTCGCCGATCCATCCGACCATCGTCCTTCTCCATGTCTGTAGATCATTTGCGAGAAGCAAGCCGGTTGTCCAGCACCCGTCTCCGACAACAATCCACAACTGTTCACGCGCGATGGCCACATCTGAATTGGGTTCCTATTTGACAACAAGGAATTGAAGAATGCGAGAATTACTCGTGAACTTTTTGCTCAAAAATGTAAACACATCCTTTCTGGTGTACGCAATTTTGTTCTGCAAAGTCTTCGAAATGTGTCAGAGAGCTGTTTTTTGTACAAAAAAAGTCTGCTCAACGAAAAAAAGCATAACAACTGTTAGCCTTGGGGCTTACTCGATTGATTTAAAATCCTATATTTCTAAAATCTAAAATATATAATGTTTTAAAAACAAACCTGGATCCCAGAATCCTCACTCAAACCCGAGTGTCTTGCCGGCGAGTTCCGCGAGAAATCCCCACAATGAGACGATGCGGATTGTCGGATGGCGGCTTCACGAATCAAGTTGGCTAAAGTTTAGATATTACCATATAGTCTACTGAAATTGTAAATGATTATTGGATAGTTTAGGGGACTTTTGGGAGTTTAGGGGTCTTTTGAGAGTTTAGGGGACTTTTGAAAGCTTATGGGACTCTTGAATGGTTAGTCAAGCTCTAAATGTTTATAACTTACTACATTGACAATATATTCGTCTACTTTTGATATATTTTGAAAGAACACATTCCACGCTTTCAAATAAGACCAAATAGAGCTAGATTGGATGGATCAATCTTGAGAAAATCGAATGGCAAGTCGTCGTTGTGTCACTTGATTTCGCCTTTGTCTTTCGGGATTGATCCATCCAATCTAGCTTCATTTGGTCTTATTTGAAAGCGTGGAATGTGTTCTTTCAAAATATATCAAAAGTAGACGAATATATTGTCACTGTAGTAAGTTATAAACATTTAGAGCTTGACTAGCCATTCAAAAGTCCCCAAAACTTCCAAAAGTCCCCTAAACTCCCAAAAGTCCCCTAAACTACCCAAGAGTCATTTACAATTTCAGTAGACTATATGGTAAACTTCCAAAGGTCCCCTAAACTCCCAAAAGTCCCCTAAGCTTTCAAAAGTCCCCTAGACTTCCAAAAGTCCCCTGAACTACTCAAGAGCCTTGGAAATTTGAATACTTACGTGAATTCGAAAAATTTTGAGGCCGATTGGGAGAGGGGCGAACTGGACGCGGACCTTGCGATGAGCGAACGGAGGATTGGCGGGAGAACGATGGATGACCGGACCAGCTGGAATGCTTTGATTAGGATAATATTTAAACTTTGAAGCTATTTTTTGGCACCCGAACCACCTGCTAGCTTGGCTGCATCGATATGGAGATCCCCTGTTCAAATCCGGTGACGGCACCTCGTCATCACTCGAGGACATCTCTTCTCCGTACATGCCAGCGCCATAATATGACGGATGGGGTACAGCTGTGGTGAAGACACTGAAATTTTAGCTGTTTTAGAACTTTAGAACTGAGCTTTCCGAACTTTAGATGAATGTTTTTCCTCGAAAACGATCGATTGCTTTATGTTTTTTGTAAAAACACCCTTTCTAAAGTTTTCTACGAATGCCTGTTAAGAAAAACAAAGAATTCATTGCAACAGAAAGTTTACAACTGTCATAATTGTTCATAACTATACTTTGATACTCGATTAGTACAACAGAACATAGATGTTTACATGTGAGCACAAAGTATACTCAAAGATAAACAATGAAAACAGTTTTGAAAACACTCACAACCAAACGGCCATACTAATGATGATATTTTTGGTGTTAACTCAAGAGTTAGACTCAACTCAGACTCAAGTAACTCTGTTAACGACTACGCGACTTTACGGTCAAAATTTGTGTTGTTGCAAATGTGATAACAGTCGTCACAATAAGTTTAAACTAGCTACTCAGTTTAGAAGTGTCAGTTTAGAAGATCTGCTAGTAAAGATCTGCTAGTAAAGATCTGATAGTACAAGTATCACATTTTGACCAGCTACAAGCATTTTCTCCTTTCCACTCACTTAGCTGTCGCTTCTCCTTTATGCGTTTTTGGTCCAGCTCTCACAACGACAGCTCCCCGTCCAGAGAAAGATCCCTCCTCGATAATGTCTCCCCTCTTTCAACGCAACATGTCGCTCTCTTTCCGTAACTTCCCTAAAAGTTTGCGTTAGATCCAGGTATTTCTTTCTTCCTTTCTTCTTTCTTCCCTTCTTCTTTCTTCCTTTCTTCTTCCTTTCTTCTTCCCCCTTATCTTCCCTTCTTTCTCTTGGCAAGTTAAAGTACCGGATAGCTTAGAGCAATTGACTGGAAAGTAGAGATTTGAATCCCCTCTCCGGAAATCTACCTTTCCTTACCTTTCCTTAATCTACCTTTCCTTAATTCCTTCACTTCTGTCGCTTCTCCTTTATGCTCTTTAAGAAATTCTCCTTTAAGAAATCATTACTTACATTCTCTCGAACTTCCAACTCCTCGAGCAATGTCGTGAGCTTTTGATACATTTTGTTGCATCGCCGAAATTTTGTCTCATACATGACACGGATATCCTGAGCGTGTTTCAGCTCTTCTTTTCGTTTACGCACTTGTTCTTGTTCTGAAAGAGTTCATATTTGATTTGATTTGGTAATCAAAATTTGATTGGTAATCAAATTTTGGTAAATCAGGAATGGGTGTTTCTAAAGCGGTGTTTCTAAGGGTTTTTGCTTGTTTTGAGACTGTTTTTGAGATCTAATTTTAGAAATGATTCAATTAGTGAATTTGTCATTTAGAAATGATCCAATTAGTGAATTTGTCATTTAGAAATGATTTCTCAAATAAACAATGCTGTTCCAGGCCTCCCCATGGGTATCCGAACCCATCCCCATGAGTATTCGAACTCATCTCCATGGTTCTACGAACCCATCCCCATGGATACCCATCCCCATGGTTCCACGAACCATTCCCATGCCTCTGAAGACTCATAGGGATGGTTCATCCCATAGAAAAATACGGGAAGCTTTAAACGAATGAGAAATCGGTAGTCTTTTTAGAAGTCTAAGTCTAAGAAGTCTAAGAAGTCTAAGAAGCTAGAAAAATAAAATACATTCTTAAATACGGGCAACGTAGTTGGAGTGGGTGGGTCAAAAATCAGCTGGAAGTAAAAAAAGGCGAAAAGATTGCCAAACTGATACTTCTAAAACGACTACCGATTTCTCATTCGTTTAAAGCTGTTTAATGTTTAAAGTTTACTGTTCAATGTTTAAAGTTTAAAGCTGTTTAAAGTTTAATGTTTAAAGCGCCAAACTGATCTAATCTTTGATACCTTCATGTTCTCGAAGATTCCCTGGATGTCCTTGAAGAGTCTCCGGATATTTAATGGCCTTTGCCTCTTCTCTCCACATTGAATATCTAGTCAACCACTCCTGAAAGCTTTTGTTTAGGTGATTTTTGATTTTTTGATGTCTATTGTACAAGTCTATTCTAATAGTTAGCACAAAACTTTACAAATTGCATAAAAGCTTTACAATTAGCTAAGCCATAGCTAAGCCATAGCTAAGCCATAGCTAAGCCATAGCTAAGCCATAGCTAAGCCATAGCTAAGCCATAGCTAAGCCATAGCTAAGCCATAGCTAAGCCATAGCTAAGCCATAGCTAAGCCATAGCTAAGCCATAGATAAGCCATTTTACCCACCTCTTCTCCCCAATAAGCCAACTCATTCGCCAAAATGTATAGATGTTGAAGAATTCCTTGGAAAGAAGGACGATTTCGTGCTTTTTGTGACCAACACTGTTGAACGAGCATCCGCAAACCATCGGGAATTCTCTCGGGGAGTGGCAAGGAGAGTTTGCTGAAATGAAAAACATTAGAGATAAATATCAGTATATCGTCACAAATATCAGAATATGGTATTAATATTGCTAAAGATAAATCAGGGGTTTTCCCAGAGGCAGAAAGCAAGCCAGAGCTTGAGAAGCCAGAGCTTGAGAAGCCAGAGCTTGAGAAGCCAGAGCTTGAGAAGCCAGAGCTTGAGAAGCCAGAGCTTGAGAAGTCAGAGCTTGAGAAGTCAGAGCTTGAGAAGTCAGAGCTTTCTGCCTCTTTCTCGTATTCACTTTCAAAAATTCACCAATTAGACTTTCTGACTTTCTGAACATCCAAGAGCCATGAATTATCTCGATCAAAGGAAAAAGAATACTTTAAAGCTTCATAACATTGATTAAAGAAAAGATTATTGTTAGCCGTTTGTATAATTGTATAGAAAACATTTCTAGCTTTTAAATAAGACCAATTAGAGCTTGATTCGACTAACCAATCCAGAGAAACTCTTCTCCAGAAAAGTCAAGAAATCCAGCTTTTGTCCCTTGATTTTTCCTGGATTGGCTAGTCCAATCCGGCTCTAATTGGTATCATTCGAAAGGCTGAAGTCTCTTCTATAAAACTATATAAAAAGTTAACAATTATATTATCTCTAGACAAAGTTAGGGACGATCAAAGCATGGCTACTCATTCAAAAACCCTGGATCACTTTTCAATCACTTACTTTGATCCAACTCCCCAAAGAACGGCCATTGAATCGATTCCTTGATACGGTTGCTCACAAGTGATCATCTCCCATAAAACGACACCGAATGACCAAACATCGACCTGAAAAATTGTTCCTTTAGAAGATATAGAAGATCTTTATGTTTCTGATACCGTAGCTGAAAGTTGTCTATAATGTGTGTCTGTAGCTGTCTGAAATAGAAATAATAGTTGTCTGAAAAGCTGTCTGTGTGTCTGCAATTGTCTGCAAAACAAAATGGTTGAATGGTTTGAACGAACGGGAACCAACGAATCATTTCAACAACCAGCCGATGTTTTTAGCTGAATGTTTCGGAGCGGCGCAGTCAGAAGCGCAGTCAGAAGCGCAGTCAGAAGCGCAGTCAGAAGCGCAGTCAGAAGCGCGCTTGTCTACGGCCAACACGACCCAGGTTCGACCCCCCGTAGTGCCAATCTTTTCAGTTTTTGGCCCAAAAACGGAAGCCCGTACAGACAGACGCTGCTCTTTTATATATAATACACAAACCTTTTCCGAGCACGGATCCTTTTTGATCATTTCCGGAGCCATCCAACTGACCGTTCCACAAAATGACATCAAAGCGCTGTTCATTTTGTTCCACTTTTGAGAGGTGCCAAAATCCGAGATCTTCATCGTTCCATCACCGGCCGCCAAGATGCTAAAATCAGTTAGAAATATAGTAAAATTTAAAAGTATCAAGTACTTTGTGCTCAAGCAGACAAACACACCTTTCTGGTGCACTCGTTTCTTCTTTCTAACAGCAATAAGCATAAGGAAATCAAGAAGTAAAGGAATTGGCAAGTGAAAATAGAAAGTAAATAAGAAAACTGAAGAGTTGTGCTGAAAAAACAGTGCCCCAGAAAGAGTGTGTTTACATTTTTGAGCATAAAATTCCCTGCAGAGAACATGGATAATTGAATTTGTGTGGCATACTTTGGCGATTTGAGATCTCGATGCACGATTTTGTTCCTATGCAGATACTCCATTCCACTCGCCACCTGTTGAGCCATATCCACCCATCGCTTTGACGGCGTCAACTCGGTGCTTTTCAATAGCTGAATAATTTGTGATTGTTTAGAATTCTTAGCTGGTCAGCTGGTCAGCTGGTTGAGCCGGCGAAATGCTTTGCGACCTATTCCATTCAACGCAGAATTTTATGCTGATTCCGAATATGGATTCCGTTTTTGCTAAATGACAATCTGCTAGGAGTTATAAGCGTCTAAAGTTTTGTTAGCAACACTCAGCACTTCTTGATAAGTTCTTGATGACTTTTGCTTCTTGAAAGAAGCAAAAGTAAAATCCAAAGCCGGGATCGAACTAGTGAGGTCTCGCTCTGCAAACGAACGCTGTACCACTCGGCCACGTCGACACGCTTTTTGGCAAGCAAGGCGGCGCTAAGACCCAAATAACCACATTTTTAGAGTTCTTACAAAACTTTAGACAAGACGGAAATGTGGCTATTTGGGTCTTAGTCGGCTTCCTGGCGGGGCTGGCTTGTTGCAACCTTGGCCGAGTGGTAGAGTTATAGCTTCCAGAGCGAGCTTAGCTTTCACCCTCGCAAGTTCGATCTCCACTTCGAGTTTTTCTTTTTGAATTTCGCCAATCATGCATTGATGTTTTGTGCTATTTCATTTATGTCAATGATGCAAAATTCGAATTGTATACGTCGCATAGCATTTGACCGGCTCAGTCAGTTGATTTGTCAATAGTCAATAGTAATAGCAATAGTCAATAGTAATAGCAATAGTCAATAGTAATAGCAATAGTCAATAGCTCAGCCAGTTTCCTTGTCAATAGTCAATAGTAAATCAATAGCAACTAATTCTTACCTCATTGAGTTGTCCATTTGAGCAGAACTCCATCACGATGCAAAAACATGGGGCTTGTGTGCAAATACCCCTGAAATTTTGTGGATAGCAAACGAATTGTCTAGTTTTGAATGGTTTGAATGGCTTGAATGACTTGAATTCGAGTGTTTTCCTCGGCGAGTAATGAGTTTTTTTTAAAACGCACACTTGAGAAAAAGAGAAAAACTACCGTACTACCGTACTTTTAGGATTATTGCAAAAAATTTGCGTGAAAAAAAACCAGGAGCGCCAACTTATAAGCGACTCTTTTTAAAGAAACTCAGCCGCTTAACTGATTTGGTGACAAATTCTCTTTAAACTATAAAGATATTCAATTTACTCGCCGTGTATTCAGTAGTCGAATCTTTTAATGTTTACTATTACAATTGCTCGTAGATTACTCGACCAAAAGCGTCGATTAATCGATTGAAAATTACTTATACACATTTTACTCGAGTAATCACTTCCTCATGAGGAACACAAGGGAGAATACCAGCTGAATATCTTGTCTGATTCAATCAAAATAATCAATAGTCAATAGCTCAGCCAAGAGAAAAACATTCGCTACAGTATACCGTTACAGTATGCCGTTACAGTATACCGCTACAGTATGCCGCTACAGTATGCCGCTACAGTATACCGCTACAGTATGCCGCTACAGTATGCCACTACAGTATACCGCTACAGTATGCCGCTACAGTATGCCACTAGAGTATGCCATTACGGTATGCCGTTGCAGTATGCCGTTACAGTACGCCGTTATAGTATACCGTTACAGCACGCAGCTACAGTATGCCGTTACACTACGCCGTTACAGTACGCCGTTACACCATGCCCTTACAGTATGCCGTTATAGTATGGCGTTACAGTATACCGCTACAGTATACCGCTACAGTCTACCGCTACAGTAAGCCGCTACAGTACGCAGGCAAGACTGACTTTCTTTGCTGAACGTGATACTTTGAAAGATATTTGAAAGGTTCAGCTTTTAAAAGCGACTGAATACTTTCAATCCCGGCATACTGTGGTGAAGGATTTGCATTTTACAGTATTCTTAAATTGTTCTATATATTAAACTATAGTATATATTAAACTATATTAAACTATAGTATAAGTTTACACTTAAACACTCACATAAATTTAATGATATTCCGATGATCAAGATATCGCAAATGTTTTGTCTCCGTATCTTTCAACTCTTTCACTTTTTTCACCGCAACCGTTTCCGCGTTTAGGCGACCCGAGAAAACGGCACCCTGAAAAACAAAATTGCATTTAATCATTTACCTGTTACATTTAATCATTATGTTTAATGTTTTTATAATTATATAATGATTTATAATGCTATGTCCTTTTAGATAAGCTAAGCTATCTTGATCATTCCTTAGCTCCACAAATTTGGTTCCTTATCTCTGAATTTGGTTACTTATCTCTCTAAATTTGGCTCCTTATCTTGCCAAATTTGGTTCCTTATCTTTCCAAATTAGCTAAGAATCCAACCTGAGATCCAGCACCCAGCCATTCAAGATTGGTGATCGATTCGAACGGGATCTCCCAATCATCTCCAGAATATGAAGCTCTAAAGTATGCTATTTTTAAATACAATTCGTAGGCCAGGTTCTGCCAAATGCAGAGCAGATCCTGGCTTGGCTCTGCTGTAGGCTTGATATAAGTTTGATATATAACAAGTTCATGGATAGCCAGTACTGAATCTCTCAGAAGCCAGTGCCAAGCCAGTGCCAAGCCAAGCCAGCCTAAACCTTGCTTGGCCTGGCACATTCCTGTTGATATTTTACTAGTTAGTCACTAGAGCTGACATTAAAACTAACTATAATTTACTTTGCTCTAGATTTAATATGATACTAGGCCTATAAAGGCTGGCTCATAATGGCTTAGATGGCTTAGATGAAGGCTTAGATGAAGGCTAGGCTTAGATGAAGGCTTAGATGAAGGCTTAGATGAAGGCCTAGATGAAGGCTTAGATGAAGGCTAAGGCTTAGATGAAGGCTTAGATGAAGGCTAGGCTTAGATGAAGGCTTAGATGAAGGCTTAGATGAAGGCTTAGATGAAGGCTTAGATGAAGGCTTAGATGAAGGCTTAGATGAAGGCTTAGATGAAGGCTTAGATGAAGGCTTAGATGAAGGCTTAGATGAAGGCTTAGGATGAAGGCTTAGAGGGATGAAGGCTTAGATGAAGGCTTAGATGAAGGCTTAGATGAAGGCTTAGATGAAGGCTTAGATGAAGGCTTAGATGAAGGCAAATTAAGTCATAGTCAAGTCAAAAATGTGTCAGATTTCTTAAAGGCCTATAAAGGCTGGCTCATAATGTGTTAAGGCTTAGATGAAGGTAGATCAAGTCGGAAATGTATCAGTTTACTTAAAGAAGTTATCATTGTTATCATTTCATTTTTATAACATTTTTCAACTTATATTTCAATTTTTAACCAAATCGGTTGGCTATAAGAAAAATTAGGGTCATTAGAAGCTCTGCAAATCAAAGCGTCTGGCACGAGGATGCTTTTCTGGCTTCTAATAGCCCTAATTTTTCTTGTAGCCAACCGATCTGGCTAAAAATTTGAATATAAGTGGAAAAATGTTATAAAAATCAAATGATAACAAAGTTCTTTAAGTAATCTGACAAAATTTCGACTTAATGCCTTTCGATTTGCCTCATAGTTCACCAAAACTCACATCGAATCGCCCTTCTTTGCTCCGAAGATTGGGAAAAACGAGCCAAAGCATGAGGTGAGAATATTGTTGAACATCCCGGCTGAACCTTTCACGTAATCAATGGGCTCTTTTTTGGGGATAATTGGAGAAAGCCGGGGACTTGCCGGCGCACTTTGGCTCAATCCCGGCGCTCCCAGATGAACGACACCCTGTGACACCACAGAGTCTAAAGTTTTTTTGAGTTTAAGCTTTCAAAACTTTATCTAGAACCTGTTGGTGTTGTGTCGAGAGTGGTAGAGATTGTGCTCGTCATTTCGATCATTCTTTTTTTCTTCCCGTTTTCTTCCTTTCTTGTTGATTTTTACCTAACACCCGTCACCCCAAGGAGAGGCGAGCCTCTGAAAACAAATTGATTTTCAAAAATGGATTAAATGAAAGAAATGAAATGATAAAGTGATTTATTTATAAGCTGAATATCATAATTAACCTATGAACAAAGGGTTAACAAAGAAAAAGAACAAAGAAAAGACTTTTCAAAGTTTCAAAGTTTATGAAATGATTCAAAAAGGAGAAAATCGAAGAAAATCGAAGAAAATCGAAGAAAATCGGCTCTTTTCTATTTCCCCCGAACTTCTGAAGAATTTAAGAAGCTTTTTGAGTGTTTAAATCGATTTCGTTTAGAATTTACTATTGTTAACTACTATTATTGTTAACTTTTTCTACATTTCAAGCTTTTGAATGATCAATAAATCGATAATGCTGTACTTAAAAAGGCGATTGAAATTGATCCTCGACAAACTACACGTGAACTTGCAGAAATATTTGGAATAAGCCCTCAAAAGCGCGCATTTATAACTGGACAACCTAATAAAAGAGCTATGTCTGTCTGTCAACTCCTCCGCACCCAGTGGGCCGTTTAAAATAACTTCTAGTTAGTTTGACTTAGAATTTCATGTAGTTGTGCAAAATGTTTTGAAATTTCTGAAAAACTAAAAGTGCTGACACGGGCGGGAATCAAACCCGGGTCGTTTGGGCTAGAGACAAGAGCGCTCGCACTGAGCTAGAGCATGGCCGAGTGGCTAACTGAGCTAGAGCAACTGGCTCTCAAACGAACGAAAGAAAGAGGTCGCGGGTTCGACTCCTCTCGCTGCCAATTCTTTTGCTTTTTCCTCTAAAAAGTGTTTCTTTTTGCCGCTGGTATAAAAGAAAAGCTGATTGAAGTTCAACAAAAAGGAAATCAAAGCCAACTTGGCCAAAAGCCAACTCCTTGTCTCTTGATTTTGATTGTTTTTCATCAAAATGAAGCTCATCTGAATATGAATCATTTGAACAAGTTTTGTCTCATTTAAAAGCTCAAGATTTTCCTCTTTAAAACGCTACGTAAAGCTAACAATATTATCGCTAATTGTAAGCAAAAATTATAGCCATTAAAAGCGTCTGAAACTCTTCAAAAACTTGAAAAGTTCGGGAAAAACAATCAAAACGGATAAGAGCCAACAAAAATCGATATCTCGATATCCAAAATTGAATAGGAGACAAAAATCGGATGAAAAGAGAGTGCTCATGTAGCGGAATAGTCAATGAGTTAAAAAAAGCGGATTGTTTGTGCAATTGAGAATGAATCGAGTGATTCACCGATCAAATTTTCCCTCTTTTTTGCCTTTTTCACTCCTTTTCCCTCAATATTTAAAAGCCGGGAAAAGACGGGAAAAATTCCATCAGAAAAAATACAGGAAAAAGTGATGTGATCGTGGGAAAATTTGGAGATATTTATGGGTGAATGGAAAAGAAAATGAGTGAATCGATTGAGGATATTGATCGGGGAAATTGCAAGTACTGTACAAGTACTTGCAAGTACAAGTCAGTACTTGCAAGTATTGCAAGTTGTTTACTGTATTTCAAGTTGTTTACTGTATTTTGACCAGTAAATAAGTGTACAATCGCGTAGTCGTTACGTGTTTTACTGATCATTTAGTGAAAATATCAAAGATATTCAAAGATATTCAAAGGTAAACTATCGTAAATACTCTAAAAGAGCGGCTTTCTATAGGAGCCTATCCTATGATAGCCTATGATAGCCTATGATAGCCTATGATAGCCTATGATAGCCTATGATAGCCTATGATAGCCTATCCTATGATCCTATAGAAGCCTAAGCCTTCTAGTCTAAGTTCGTATTGATTCTCGTATTGATTCTCCAAGAGAAAGCAATTTTGAGTTTCTGAAGAGGAAAAGGGTTAATTTAGCAATTTTTTGGTATTTGGTAAAGAAAAGGGTGATTTAGCTGGTGCTTTGATGAAAAAATGATGATGAACTTGTTGAACAACTCTGTTATTTTTGAAAAGTTTACGAAAAATCGATACTGAAGCTAGTGAGAGCTCCTCATTTGACCTCATTCTCTTTCCAATGGAGAATGGGTCTGGAATTGGACTAGAAAAAAAAAGGAACCCTCAAATGGAAGGGTAAAGAAAAGGGAAAAGAGGAAGAATTTGGAATTCTAAGGAAACGGGGTTCTTAAAAGTGACTCATCCCTATCTCTCACTCAAATATGTAATATCACTCCTTGGGGATTCATTAGAAAACCATTGAGCATGACAGAAACTTTCTGATTCAAGAAAATACTCTTGTTGTTGAAAGTCTTGAGAGTCTGTTTTGAAAGCAACTGTATTCTGAAAAAGTTTCTGATTAGAATGATTCTTTAACAAAATGTATTGCTCCCGACTAGACTTGTAACAAAAACATCTGTCGATCCTTTTTTCCCGTCGGCAAAAGGTTTTTCGTGTTTTTCTCAGCACAAACCCTTTGCTTTTAACTATTTTGATTATCATTTGATAGCGAACGAAATTTTGCGTCGAATGATACCAAAATCAACTTAAAATATAATATCCATGTAAAGTTATGAAGCAAAAGGTTAAGTCTCGTCCATAACGGCGGGGTTTCACCTTTTGTCCAATAACTTTACGTGGTTATTATATTTTAAGTTGATTTTGGTATCATTCGACGCGAAATTTCGTTCGCTATCAAATGATAATCAAAATAGTTAAAAGCGAAGGGTTTGTGCTGAGAAAAACACGAAAAACCTTTTGCCGACCGGAAAAAAGGATCGACAAATGTTTTTGTTACAAGTCTACTCTCGACTACTGTAATCTGCCTCGAGTTTTATCCAATCTCTCTACTTTTTTATATCTTTGAATCAAATCAAAACTCTCACCGAATCAGCTCAAACGTAGATTGAAAAAAAAAACTAGAACTAATGATAGTTTTAGAAAGCGTTTCTTTCATTTTATAGTTAGATGAAAGATGAAATAAACTTAAAAGACAAAAATGGGTATATTGTAACTAGAATCTGACGGAATTGAAGACTAGAATTGCTAGAATTCCAACGAACAATTCAAAATTGAGCTTGTTTGTCAAGTATGTTACCTATTTTGTGATTAAAAAGGTTCTTACAAGTTTAAACTTTAAGAAAATAAAAATAAAAGAGAATAAAAGAATAAAAGAATAAAAGAAAATGATTGAAAATGATTGAAAATGATTGAAAATGATTGAAAATCATTGAAAATGATTGAAAATGATTGAAAATGATTGAAAATGATTGAAAATGATTGAAAATCATTGAAAATCATTGAAAATCATTGAAAATCATTGAAAATCATTGAAAATCATTGAAAATCATTGAAAATCATTGAAAATCATTGAAAATAAAAGAGAATTTTTTGGAATATTTGAAGAAAATTGTTGGCGAATCGCTTTTTTCTTGTGAGCTGTTGGTTGCTATGAACGCTTAGGGGACAACACTGGCTCTTTTACCTGAGAATTTCTGAATGAAAAAGCGAAATGAAAAGGATATTTGATGAATAGAGACATTCAGTTGTCAGATTTTGTTTAGAATTCAATGAAAGAATCTTGTTTTCATGTAGGTTTTGGTTTTGTAAGCTTTAAGTTTCGTTTTGTAAGTTTTTCAAAGCTTTGACTGAATTCTTTTCTTGAGAAAGTTACAGTAACCAAAAAGAACATGAATTTTAGGCATACTGGAACTGTAACTGTAGCTGTAACTGTAACTGTAGCTGTAGCTGTAACTGTAGCTGTAACTGTAGCTGTAGCTGTAGCTGTAACTGTAGCTGTAACTGTAGCTGTAACTGTAGCTGTAACTGTAGCTGTAACTGTAGCTGTAACTGTAGCTGTAACTGTAGCTGTAGCTGTAACTGTAGCTGTAACTGTAGCTGTAACTGTAGCTGTAGCTGTAACTGTAGCTGTAACTGTAGCTGTAGCTGTAACTGTAGCTGTAGCTGTAACTGTAGCTGTAACTGTACTGTAACTGTAACGGTGACAAGTAATGCGTTTTCTAGAAAGTTGGTAACCTTGGAAAACTACTGCCGCCGTTCTTTTCTTTCTATTCGATTTTAATTATGATTTTATTCGATGAGGAATCTGTGAATCAAATGAAAACAAGAAAGATTACGGTAGCTTTTCAAAATTGTCCAAATTTCAAATTCAAAACTTTTAGAAAACGTACACGTACAATACACGTACACGTACAAAACGTACAATCACTCACAAACATTTTGGAAACAACTCTTAAACTGAATCTCTTTTAAACTTGTTAAAGAGATTCTTTGTTTTTTTTTCTATTCGACTTAATTATCCAGCCATAATTAGCCAAATAGTCAACAAAACCAAATATCCAACTAAAAACATTGAGTATACAGTAATTTATAACTTAATTTATAAATTAAAAAAAAAACAAAGTAATCTACCCGTGTTCTATGTTTCAAAAGTTTGAAAAACCTTTTCTTAGTCAGTTCATTATATACTGCCAAGAGTTGTAATTGAGTTTCACCTGTGGAAATGAAAAGGGATTCGAGAAAATTGCATCTTTCTGCTGTTCTCATGTGTAAAATGCTAAAATCGGATACCCAAAGTGCGTCACGGAAACGAAAATAGAGCAAGAGGGGACTACTGACGGCAGAAAAAGGGAGAAAGGAGCAAAAAGGCGAACGATGAGCTAGTTTTTGGCCTCAAGCCTTCAAAAATTGATCTTTGGAAGTGTGGAGAGGGGAAATTTGCAACGAGATTTTGGTTTGATGCTTTTGATGAAGACAAACTAACAAAGGAAAGGCAACTACGGTTAGTAGGATGTGATTAAATGAGATAAGCCATAGACCATTCGGCGCAGAATTTCACACTGATTCCGAAACTGTTTTCCGTTTTTGCAAAACGACTTTCTATAAAAAGTTATACGTGTAAAAATGGTTATCGGATTGGATTTATTTACATTTTACAAGGACTACGAAACTCGACACAACGACTTTCTATAAAAAG